GAGCTTGTCATGCCACATATGAAGAGGCGCATGGAGGGCACGCCGCACCTCCAAGAGCACATCACAGGGGCAATGGAAATATGTGGGCTAAAAAGAGTGCACACACCACCCAGCCACAGGAGGACACCAGACAGGAGGGACAAGGGAAAAGAAAGAGCTGCAAGATCTGCCAGCTGGCAAAGACCGAAAAGCCAGCAGCTGGTGTTCCAAGTGAAGCAGCTCTGTGTGCAAGGGCACAGACGTGTGATGTCATTTGTGAGGTACTGACATGGCAATTTGCGCAATCAGTTTGATTTGTATTCAATCATTGTATACATTCACCACAGTACAATAGTTACGCTACAGAAACAGTGAAATATCACTGTTGTCCTTTGGATGATATATGTTATTTGTGAGTGTGAAGAAGTGACAAATAAAGATTTCAAATATTAAATGTATTGTTTGGTCCAAATCACTGATAATATAATACTTTTTATCCAAATTATTATTTTAGTATGTTTTGATTTATCATTTCTATCACACTTGCATACATGGGTCATTTTTGTGTATCAAAGGGTTAAAATAACTTGCATATTTCCACGTCTTTTTTCTATGACGCACCAACTATGACTCTCTAGTTTAACACTAATGGGTTGTTTAATGATGGAGCTGACAATAATTACAGACAGTTGAAGCCATTTATAATTTCGAACCCACTTTATATTGGTGCCCGGATTTAGGAAAGTATAATCCAAATGTCTTTGTTCCACAGTTCTTCTCTTCACCTGTTTTTAATCACTTTATTATGCAATTGACAAACATACAAATGTATGTTTCACAACAGCTCAATATGCAACCTCTCAAACAACTGTTGTTTTTTAAATAACTCTTTCCCTTGTTTTCAGACAGCTTTAAAGAATTCTGCTGAGCAGCTAAAGCTAGTTTAATTAATCAAACGACACGTTTGAATATGATGGATCCAGTCTGCAGAGATCAATGGACAGACATGCAGTCATTTTCATTCGTTTTTATAGGGTCAAGGTCACAATCTGAACTTCATCGTATCCTCCTTCATTTTTGTATCCAACCTTTATTTCCTTCTTTAACGGTGTAGCAGATACATGCAGCTCATCTGATTAGATTGTTATCTGCTCTCAGATCTCCTGATATAATGGCCTTGACGTGACATGGAGCTTCACACACAGAAGGATACTTAACATTTACTGCGTGCTGCACCAAGCACACACGTCAGATGGAGAGAAGGAGATAAAGGCAGATAAAGACATGATAAGACTTCCTCTGAAGGGCACCTAGAAGTTTTTCTGATCCTTCCTCATTCCACACCGTGAGGATGTAGACGTAGAACAACACTCCACACACACATTCACACTTTATGAGACATGTACGAATCACCTCACAAAGCTTTTAAAGGGATAACTTGTGTTCTCCTTTGAAATCAGTTGAAGGATGTGATTTGGAGATATTACTGTAAGATAAATGTGATACACTGATAAGATTGTGGGCATGGTTTGAACTATAAATGCCATTCTTTATTGCTTTGTTCAGGATATCCTCTGCCATGACAACCCTTCGCAACATATGGCCATGAAAAATATATTTAAAATATCAATACAATAATTATCATAACAAATAAGGAATACAAAATATAAATAAAAGATGAAATCTGGAAAATCGCATAATATCAAAGGTTTGGAAATATGAGTAGTGCAGTTGAAATATTTATATTCAGTGTATTACCCAGATCCCCATTACTTTACTATTTAAAGCATAGTATTTCTTTTTGGTTGTTCTTTCTTATAATAAATATATGTCTTCCCATTCTGTATATGTGGCATTATTTGAGGATCCAGAGACTTTAGATTTTAATCACTAAAACCACACTGCATTGCGCATATGACATTAAAGCATTTGAATCTTTAAATCTTTGAATTACATTTTGCGGCAACTTCTTTTAACAAATGTGGCTTTTATGTAAACAGAAACATTTCATTTTCTGCAGAGTTTTCATGATGTCTTAGATAAGCATGGCCGAAACAAACAGCATGATGGATCCTCTGCCGCAGGTAAACATCTTACACTTTAGTGTGTTATCTGTTAGCAGAGCCTCATCCCCCAACTTTACACCTTTGACGTCAACCTTTTCCAAAAAGATTCTGAATAATTGTCCCTATCCCAAATAAATGTATGTCATATGTTATTATTCCTAAAGGATGTTTAGTTTTTAATGTTGGCACATTAAAGGTGTCCTATTCTGCTAATTTCCACGTTCATATCAGTGTGTAGTGTCTCCACTTTAAAGAGTCCTCTCCTGCTGATGTTCAGGTGTATATCAGTATGTAGTGTCTCCACTTTAAAGAGTCCTCTCCTGCTGATGTTCAGGTGTATATCAGTATGTAGTGTCTCCACTTTAAAGAGTCCTCTCCTGCTGATGTTCAGGTGTATATCAGTATGTAGTGTCTCTACTTTAAAGAGTCCTCTCCTGCTGATGTTCAGGTGTATATCAGTATGTAGTGTCTCTACTTTAAAGAGTCCTCTCCTGCTGATGTTCAGGTGTATATCAGTATGTAGTGTCTCCACTTTAAAGAGTCCTCTCCTACTGATGTTCAGGTGTATATCAGTATGTAGTGTCTCTACTTTAAAGAGTCCTCTCCTGCTGATGTTCAGGTGTATATCAGTATGTAGTGTCTCCACTTTAAAGAGTCCTCTCCTGCTGATGTTCAGGTGTATATCAGTATGTAGTGTCTCTACTTTAAAGAGTCCTCTCCTGCTGATGTTCAGGTGTATATCAGTATGTAGTGTCTCTACTTTAAAGAGTCCTCTCCTGCTGATGTTCAGGTGTATATCAGTATGTAGTGTCTTCACTTTAAAGAGTCCTCTTCTGCTGATATTCAGGTGTATATCAGTATGTAGTACCTCTACTTTAAAGAGTCCTCTCCTGCTGATGTTCAGGTGTATATCAGTATGTAGTGTCTCTACTTTAAAGAGTCCTCTCCTGCTGATGTTCAGGTGTATATCAGTATGTAGTGTCTCTACTTTAAAGAGTCCTCTCCTGCTGATGTTCAGGTGTATATCAGTATGTAGTGTCTCTACTTTAAAGAGTCCTCTCCTGCTGATGTTCAGGTGTATATCAGTATGTAGTGTCTCTACTTTAAAGAGTCCACTCCTGCTGATGTTCAGGTGTATATCAGTATGTAGTGTCTCTACTTTAAAGAGTCCTCTCCTGCTGATGTTCAGGTGTATATCAGTATGTAGTGTCTCTACTTTAAAGAGTCCTCTCCTGCTGATGTTCAGGTGTATATCAGTATGTAGTGTCTCTACTTTAAAGAGTCCTCTCTTGCTGATGTTCAGGTGTATATCAGTATGTAGTGTCTCTACTTTAAAGAGTCCTCTCCTGCTGATGTTCAGGTGTATATCAGTATGTAGTGTCTCTACTTTAAAGAGTCCTCTCCTGCTGATGTTCAGGTTCATATCAGTATGCAGTGTCTCTACTTTAAAGAGTCCTCTCCTGCTGATGTTCAGGTGTATATCAGTATGTAGTGTCTCTACTTTAAAGAGTCCTCTCCTGCTGATGTTCAGGTGTATATCAGTATGTAGTGTCTCTACTTTAAAGAGTCCTCTCCTGCTGATGTTCAGGTGTATATCAGTATGTAGTGTCTCTACTTTAAAGAGTCCTCTCCTGCTGATGTTCAGCTGTATATCAGTATGTAGTGTCTCTACTTTAAAGAGTCCTCTCCTGCTGATGTTCAGGTGTATATCAGTATGTAGTGTCTCTACTTTAAAGAGTCCTCTCCTACTGATGTTCAGGTGTATATCAGTATGTAGTGTCTCTACTTTAAAGAGTCCTCTCCTGCTGATGTTCAGGTGTATATCAGTATGTAGTGTCTCCACTTTAAAGAGTCCTCTCCTGCTGATGTTCAGGTGTATATCAGTATGTAGTGTCTCTACTTTAAAGAGTCCTCTCCTGCTGATGTTCAGGTGTATATCAGTATGTAGTGTCTCTACTTTAAGGAGTCCTCTCCTGCTGATGTTCAGGTGTATATCAGTATGTAGTGTCTCTACTTTAAAGAGTCCTCTCCTGCTGATGTTCAGGTGTATATCAGTATGTAGTGTCTCTACATGTCTCCATGCTTTAATGTTCAAAAAGCTCTTTATTTTTCTCATACTGTCTGTGCTGCAGCACCTCTTTTCACCCTCTGTCTGAAACCAGAGCCCAGTCTGCTCTGATTGGTTAGCTGGCCAGCTCTGTTGTGATTGGTCAACAGCTTAGATATGTCCTGCCCCTTAGCCTATCACGTACAATGTGTTGGAGCGCTAGCCAATAAAAGCGTGAGTGTTGTGATGCCTATATGTTACAGGCAGGGGGGGAGTGTGTGGGAGAGAAAGTCCCTCTGGAGGGAACACAGGGATTTTAGCCTCTGCAGACCATTGACATGCACTAAAACCTATAGAACACTCTACAGGAGAGGGAAAACACAGGAAGCATAATAGAGCCTCTTTAATATGAGATCAACTACGTATTCCTGAATTTTCTCCACGTTTACATTTTAGAAAATATTTTAAAAAACACTAGTTTAGTCATTAATATTTGAAATAAAACTGAAAGCCCAAAAATATTTAAACATGTTTTAAATGGTTGGATATCAGTCCTGATGCTAGTCTAATAAAACAAATGTAAAAAGTGTTACATTGAAATGAGGGATGTGTAGCCCCCCTGTCAAGTTAAACAGTACCACTAACTACAGCTTGCAACATCTTCATTGAACCAAATGTTGTCTGGCACAGTTTCACCTGGTTGGCCTGCAGTCAATCATTCAGACCACACATTGTGTCTTCTTCTTTGAACACAGTAAGACTGGAAATGCAACATGTGACAGATTCCTAATGCTCTAACTGTCCAGATTGAACACAACATGTTTTTATTTTATTTTCCAAATACATAGTGGCATAGACAGCTTCATTTCTAAAAACAATATATAACTTGTTCTTAAGTTGTCCTTTCACTTTACAGTTTAGCATTACCTGTTTCCTGCAAAGGCTCACACTCTTCGGTCGGACCCTCAGAAGGTAAGAACAACTTGACAGTGCAAAACATTTCTGTACAGTAAACGTGCTAATATTGTGTGGTTTTATTTGAATCATTGACTTTGTGCAAAGCACAGTGAGTGCACAGCTGCAGAACATTATGAAAAGATTTGTATCACACTTCAACTATTTTATTGTGTCCATTGTTGGCATGGGCACGTAAAGTGCTTATAAAACAGATTCACACCCATCTTTTTATGTGTTATTGTTTTACAACATTTAGGGTGAATATAAGACTCATAGATGTAAGCTATTTGATAATTATAAACGACTAACAAATCTATGATAAACTAGTTACTGAATGATCAGGTAATTTTCACGAGAAACATCTTTATGAGATATTAAAGCTGTGAGACTCCTAGCTAGTCTATTCTTGTACATTTGGAAATATCTTCTTCTTCACAAAGCAGAACAAGTTATCAGATACTTTTCCAACACATTTGATACAAAGGCACTGATTTGTTGTAATGATATTTCCACTATGCATGTCATTGAATGTCACATGTGTGCTTCCAGAGTGGCACAGTGACAGTAGTGTTTCCATACAGCCTGTGAACCATGTGAACCCATGCAGTTTCACATTTGCAGCTGTGCCCATTGACCTCTCCGCACACTGTGGAATAATCCTCGCCTCGGGAACTCCTGATTATCCTTCCCATACATATCCTGCATGTTGCAAACATTTGAATTCAAAAGAAAATGATGAACAAGCTTTTGTGTTAGAATATACTATACTCTACACTTAGATACACAGATATTTAGATTGAACCAATGGTTTCACGTCTGTCAATTTCGAAGTACCTTTTATTTGATGCTACTTTATCATTCTACTTCACTACATTTTGGAAGCTAATATTGTTCTTTTTGCTCCACTATATTTATTTGACAGCTCATACAAGTTATTTTTTGTATTTAAATGATTAGCTAACACAGAACATAAATCAATTATGAAATAACCTTTGACGTATAATTATAATTTAAGATCCAGCATCAGTATATGAAGTAATTCAAATGAGCTCTACATTGACCAGCTGTAAACACATGAATGTATTAATAATCATAATCCATTAAATAAATATATGCGATTCTGAAATGAGCAATCACGCCTAACGAGTACTTCTACTTCTGGTACATTAACTTTATATATTTTGTTTTACAATTTAGTATTGCTACTTTTACTAAAGTAATATATCTGAGTCATTCTTGAACCACTGGATTGAACTAGATTTGACATCTGAGACCATGTTCTCATTGAAGAGGCTAAGCTGGGTCTGTCTTATAGATCCTATAGGAGGAATAGCTTGTGCCTCAGGGTGTGTTAGCGTCTTCCCTCTTACTGGCACCGCAGCGTGATGATGCTGCATAGCTGCCCAATAAAGTTTACAGAGGGCAAAGGGCAGTCAAAGTTGGAACTGTGTTGCAATGACATTTCACATTTCAGAATGATTCTCTTTTTATATGCATGGGCTACTGAACACTGACCCCATAAAAACACTAAGTATTGGTTAATTTTTTATTTAGTTTCAGCTGATTTCCCCTCCCAACTGCATTTGGCTGCAGCGGGGTATAAAGAGCAGAGAGCTCTCGTCACTGAAGCCACCATCTTCTTGGATATTGGAGACGGAGAAACTGAAGAAGTCTTGTGGATTCTAAGAGTTACAAGCTCGTTTTCTATTTTCAGATTGGGAGCCACTGCTTATCTTCTTGTGCTGCCGTGCATTGTCCACAATGTCTGTATTAAAAACTGCAGCGCCCACCGGCTGCGAGCCTCTGGCCGCGGTGTGTTCAGGGGCAAACTGCCTCGTTCCTCTCGATAGCTTCAATGAGAAGCTGAGCCTGGCGATGAGCATCGTGCTCACCGTGATGCTCGCCATGGTCATGTTCTCCATGGGCTGCACTGTGGACGCCTCCAAGCTGTGGGGCCACATCAAGAGACCCTGGGGCATCTTCATCGGCTTCCTCTGCCAGTTTGGCATCATGCCTTTCACAGCCTTCGCCTTATCCACGGCCTTCAACGTGCTGCCTGTGCAGGCCATCGTCATCATCATCATGGGCTGCTGTCCCGGGGGCTCCGGCTCCAACGTCATCTGCTACTGGCTGGATGGAGACATGGACCTGAGGTTTTCATTTCATTAACAAAACGATAAATCGAGACAATAATCAGCAGATTAATTGAATATCTTTTCACACTGCAAAAACTAAAATGTTGAGTTTATTTACATTTGTTATGTTAACTGATAATTGTATTAGTTAGTTGAAAGCAATAATATTACGTTGAACCTTATAATTTCATTTAAACTGAATATTATTGCCTTCAAACAACCTAAATCAATCTGTGTAATTTGCTGACATTTAAATCAAGTCAACGTTTCAGTTTACAGTGTACAATGCTACCGTACATTTATAAATCATTCTCAGGGCCCCTTTATGTGTCCTCAACATACTGTGAACAGTATGGAAGAATGACTGGGCCATCATGGACCCAATGAGCAAATCCCATAGTGAGATATGAGTTGATCATGACTCAACTTATTCCATGCTTATAATCTCCATCCGTTATTAAAGAAGCTTGATAGACCCTGACAGCATTCTCCCCTCTTCAGTGTCAGTATGACCGCCTGCTCCTCCATCCTGGCCTTGGGGATGATGCCTCTCTGTCTGCTCATATACACCGCCACCTGGACCTCCACGGGAAGCATCCAGATCCCATACGACAGTATTGGTAAGGAAGAAACTCTTAGTTGATTGCTAACCCATGTGCACTGTACAGGTTTATTAAAATGATGTTGTGAAATCGTTGTATCTTCAGGTATCACTCTAGTTTCTCTTCTCGTCCCAACCGGTCTGGGAATGCTTGTTAAACGGAAGTGGCCCCACTATGCAAAAAAAATCCTTAAGGTAAGAAACGTGAAATATTGTCTGCTATTTGATTAGGATATTTGTTGTGACTTTCCATTTCCATGTATGTCTTCATCCAATGAAATGTCATGTACTGTCTGTGTGTCTGCTGTGCGCAGGTGGGGTCCTTTGCAGGCTTTGCTCTTATTCTCATCATAGCTGTGGTTGGAGGAATTCTCTACCAGTCCTCCTGGGACATTGATCCATCCTTATGGATTATCGGAACTATCTACCCCTTCATTGGTTTCAGCTTGGGGTTCTTCTTTGCTCGCTTTGCGGGGCAACCCTGGCACAGGTAGGAGGACAGCGATGTTTGCATTTGTTACACAAAGCTTCTGGATTGGGATAGAGTCATATTCAGTTGTATTAATCATCTATCCATAGACAAAAACTCATTTACAAGGTCGTTGATCATTGCCTGCTCTCTTCAGGTGTCGAACCATCGGGTTGGAGACGGGTCTTCAGAACTCCCAGCTGTGCAGCACCATCGTCCAGCTGTCCTTCAGCCCTGCTGAGCTGGAGGTCATGTTTTCATTCCCCCTCATCTACAGCATCTTCCAGTTGCTGGTGTCCGTCATATCCGTTGGAGGTGAGAGTTTAGCAGGCAGATACTTACTTACTTAGTAAAGGATGGTAACCACACTAGCATTTTCTAGAAAACGGGATGGTCATGGAGTTTTGGTTGTTCTTCTACCACCAAAATAATGAAGGTGAACAAAGCTGTCTGGCTCCTCCATAAGGCAACAATGTTAAACACAGCCTTTATGGGTTTTACTGGCAGGTTTTACGAGAAAAAATGGCTTTGTACAGGTTTCAACCACGTCTGAGTTCAAACGTTTTCATGGCTGATCCAAACAGAGATGCTGTAAGGTGAACTGTGAGTGACGGTTTGTCACTTCCCATGTTCTGACAGAAACTGTGCTCAAAACGCTTCTCCCGGCACACAGGCTGCATGATGGCATGTTGAATGTTGTCTTGCTCCTTTACCCGTAACTAATCCAAAATGGCTCCTCTTGCATCAACCACATTAAATACAACGGCAAGGAAAGGTGATTGGCTGGACTGAGATCAAGGAATGTTATCAAAGTTAAAGTGTTAACAGGCGACTTTCCAATAGTTTTCAGGTGGTGTCATTGTTTGTGTTGCTGAAGTCAAAACAAACAACCAGAAAGCTGTAATTCATTAGACATTTGTCTGACCACACTTTGTTTGCAGTATAACACAAACAACAAATCAGCTTGTGTGTGTTGACCTCTGCCTTCATTCATTGCATTATTCCTGGTTTAAAGAGATCATTTGCAGAACAAAAAAAGGATAATCTATCATTGTCAGGACAAATGTTGGAAAATAAAATCATTCACTGAAGCCCAAAACATTTCAAAGCTCTTTAAAAAAAGCCTCAAGATGACCGCTCAGTGTTTCTGAACCCATGTGTTTTCCCTCTTCAGGCTACCAGTTGTATAAGAGGTATCGGAAACCTGGCTCAGATGATGCCGACAGTGATTCTCCAGCCCTGGAAGCTGGTGACGGTGAATCAGCAAAAAAGAACATACATGCTGTGGAAAATGGTGGCTTTGAGTTTGACGACATTAGCAAGAGCGAAGAGAAGAATAGGGATGTAAAGAACGCCACCCAGCTGTGAGTTTACAGAACCTGCTAATCCCAGACATTGGACTTTCAGTAAAACCACAGACCCTCTGAAGACATCTGAACTCCACACTGTGAGCACACAGTGAACTCTGCAGGCCGGAGGTGTGCACTACACGTGCCGTTCTGTTCGACTTTGGAAAATACTTCACAAGAACACGGGTTCCCAAACGTCTTCCCTAGTATGGCAAATAACTGACTCTCACACTGTATCATATTATGCCTTGTATTGATATGCCTTCCTTTACATTAATGTATTCATATATTAACATGTGCAACCACTTACATTCTTTGGAACGCATGTTATGCGCATGTTCCTTGATCAATTGTAGATATTTAGCTACAGTCGTGTTTTTGAATGATGGAATTAAATGTGTGTGACATTTATAATTGATCTGATAAGACACATTATTGTGTCAAGATGAGGAGAATTATGAACACTGCTGAGAGACAACCTTTCCATGTCCTAAAACCTACTAAAAGAGCCGACTGCTTTTTTGTTTGAAAGATAGTTATGTATGTTTTTTGTAATACTTGATTCTGACAGCTGGTGAAATCAGTGGGAACTACAAACCATGTTTGGAACTGGGGCCCCAGCACAAACTCCTGTTGTGTTTTCATTTCTAAATAGAAGTACAGTAGGGGTAATGGGGCACAGCGGCATTTTAGAATTTTGAAACATGATGTTGTGAAATCGTTGTATCCTCAGGTATCACTCTAGTTTCCCTTCTCGTCCCAACCGGTCATTTTTATGGTTTAACATATCCTTCCAAGATGGAACAACAGGAGTATACTGGAATGCTGATATCATTCTGAGACATATTTGCTCATTTATGAGTCCTCTGTATAAATGTGCAATGAGAACAAACTATGAATACACATTTCCATGGATGTAAAATAATAATATATCAATAATATAGTATTTTGTATTTCCTATTTACCACTTTGTTGGGAAATATGCCTTCTGAAATTATGTTTATTTTTCATTAAAAAAAGAAAAAACATGTTTGCTGTAATGGTTTGATGTGAATGTGAGTTTTGTTATCCAAATCAATAAACATATTAATGTGTTAACTTAGCCCCAATGTTGTGTATTTACTAGAAGTGAACATTTTGAGAATATAAGCATTTCTTTAAAATGTTGTAATTAAAAGGAACCAAAGTTCAAACGTCAATGACATCTATGCCATTTAGACAAACTGGCTCTTTAAAAGTATTTGATGTACATAGGCCACATGTACAAGGTCTTAAACATAACTCTCCAACCATAAAATAATCCAATTAAAATGTTGTTTAAAGTTGTTCAAAGTCCAAGCTGTGGCAGCTAAAGCACTCTCAGTCTCATGTCGAAGTGCTGTCATGTGACTCCAGACGTGCTGCTCACCTGTGTGACTGTACTGACTCTAGCTGAGCCACAGATGCTCCTCAGTGATCCATCTTCACAGGCTCCTCCCCCTCACTGCAGCTGCCTTCACTGACTGATGGAAATACTGGGGATTCTCGCAATTCCACATGACAAAGATTGCAAAAAATGACATATCTTCCCAATTTCACAATACCAGCAGTGGAAGAAGTATTCCGATTATTTACCTAAGAAAAAGTAACATTACTACATTTTCAAATGTGAAAGTACTCATTATGCAGGGAGGAACATTTAAACAACACATATTAAATGATTGTATTTTATTATTATTACAAACAACAAAAAGTGTATCTCGAGCCGGTTTCTCAAAATTACCTACCCCACCTATAATATTAATTATTGACGCATAAATGTGTTCATCATTTTAATGTTGCATTTGGTAAAGATAGGGTGAATTTGAGATACTCTTTTTACTGTACTATTGAGTATCTTAACAGATAATAATTTATAGTGTATTAGTTGATTTAGATTTTTCATTAATAACCTAAATCAGCAAAGTCACTAAAGCTGTCAGATCAATTTACTGAGGTAATAAGTATACTTGCCTACAAAATGTAATGGAATAAAAGTACAAGTAGTATAATGTGAACATACTCAAGTAAAGAACAAGTACCTCAATGTTGTATATTATCTGTAATATAAATGTCATTGTTGGTATTGCTGTCACATTTATTTTCTTCCTTTAGGAGATTTATTTTGGATAACTTCAAGTTGTTATTTTCAAGACTTTTTAATTGAGATAGTGAGGATTACGAGCAGACCCTGAATGCAGCAAATGTACGTTTACAGGGAGACAGAAATCAGACCTAGAGGAGCAGTTTGGACATCTGGTAAGTAACGAAATCCTCTTTACAGTAAGTGTATACACGGAATGCCTGTCACACTATTTTACAAGTATACAATGTAATACGGATTGTACATTACGATGTCCCATCTTTTTTAGCATCGGATACCATCTGCTACCCGCAAAGAAGCTCTAAAAAAGTTCACCTCCTTATTTCCTCTTCTTCAACTTTACCGTTATTAACGCTGACAATGGTCAGGAGTCAGGACAATACAGGGACAGACGTACAGTAAGTTAAAACGAACAATATTTTGTATCAAGTAAGCTTCTAAATATAGTTAGTTGGTGGTGTTCCCCTGGTAACTGAGCCCTAAATGAACGGCTCTCATTCCTCTGTGCTTGTTCTGCGGTTGTCTAACGTTAGTGACGTTAACAGCTAGCGAAGCGTCGTAAACACATCTCGGTAGCATGTTAACACACTGGGTGGGGATAATAATTCAGATGGCATGGTTCATCTAAAAAGTCAATGACACTTTAGGTCATTTTACGTTGGCTAAGATAGAAGTTAGTCACACGCCGACCCAACTTCGTCAATGTCCGCCCCCTGAACTAATGCAAGAATACTAAAAGGGACCATCAACGTATGTACGCTTTAAAGTGAACACAGTCAGTTAACCAGTTAGCCTATAACGCTGCTACTTCTTTGAATACCTTGGATGTTTACTTAAGTTAATACAATAACAAAATAACATAAGCCTCTTTATTTAATATGATAATCTGCCTATTTTATTTTTCCTATCTTTTATATGCACTTTCCCATTTGTTGAAATAAGCAAATGGTAAAGACTATTTTGGTAGGCCTGTTGTATACCCTAAGAGTATCAAGTGAAATTACAATACACTCATAAATACATATTCGATAGTAGAAATATATATAAATATATTTACTTAAGTAAATAGCCTAGTAATAATAATATTATAATTATAATATTATTAATGGCAATATAATGCATTCTAATAAAACGACAAAAAAATACATCCTCAGAAATGTGGTTAAACATTTGAAAGGATGTTTTGTATTTATTTATTTAATTTAAATGATTAGTGGTCTTAATATGTTTATAAATTCCAACCTCAATTCACGCAGTTACACTGAAGATAACAATACAGAATCAATAGAACATTATAATAATGTATTTGAATGCTAGTCACTCTTCCAATGACCGAGGGCAGTATATTTGATATTCTTAATTTGTTCCTTTCTTATCTCACCAGATTTGATTTCCAATGGGTTATAAACACATCACAGTTATGTGACTTTTTGTCTTTGGCTTTGTTTATTTAACTGACCACATTGCTCTTTACACAATTAACACTCAGGTGTTTGAACAAGGCAGAGCGAGGTGTTTGGTCATGACCTCCGAGCTGTTTGCTCACGTAACCGGGTGATAAGATGAATTAGAGAAACCACCATGTTGTCCTGGAGAATAGAGAGGAGAGCATTGCACCAGCATGTGGAAAATAACTGTCACTCAAAAAGCAGAAATGTGAAACCACGCCTAACATGAAGTGTTTCTTCATTAATATTGTAAAAGCTTGTTAAAGTGAGTCATGGGCCGCTTCCTGAATGCAATCCTTGTCAAAAAGTTGAGGCTTTCTTGTTTTCAAAGGTCAAATGCAGCAACATGGAGCAGCTGGATTTTATTCTTCTTTCAAACTTTAGTTACTTTATAGATTCTGATTAATGATGAAATATAATCAAGTGTTAAATCAGACTTTAGTTCCACCTGGAGTAAATCCACCAGCTACCCTGCAGTATACAAAGTCATTCAGACTAGCTGCACCTTTACCAGCTTTGAGAACACTTTAATGATCAATCATTATAAAACATATCATATATATTATTCTGAAATGGACCAATCTGCACAAGGACTACTTTTACTGTCGCTACCTTAAGTGTATTTTTATGAGAATACTTTTCTACTTTTACATTTTGCCAGGCCAACCTGGAAGTAAGCATTGCAAGGGTTCCTTCAACAAAAAGCAATGGGATTTTTCACTTTTGAAATATTGCAGAAAATAAGATCTTTTGCAAACTCATATCTATGAAATGTCAAGTTTTTTTTTAATGATTCTTAATCATTCATGAAGCGCAAATGTGCTGAAGTCAAAAGCTAGCTTTGTAAACAAACAACGTCACAGTCACATGACTTAATGCAGTGGTTCTCAAACTTTTTCTGTCAGGCCCCCCCTTTGGAGAAAAAAAAAGTCGGGCCCTCCCAACACAAGTAGTCACGTAATGGGCCAAGTTAACATTTATTAAAATTAGGGCTGTCAAGTTAACGCGTTAATAACGCGTTAATGCAAAAAAAAATTAACGCCACTAATTATTTTAACAAGATTAACGCATGTGTATTTTTTTTCCTCGGCCGCCCCGTAGTTTCAGAGCGCATCGAGTTTAAAATACCATTTACAAGCTGATGCTGACAGCCCCGCTCCTGCTGCCCGCTTGTGGCAGACCACACTTCCACGCTCACCGGCAGGCACCGACTGGCTGTTGGGAGGACCGGGAGGGTGTGTGTATGTGTGGCCCGAGCGAGCGAGAGAGAGACCTTACGTGCATTGTTGTTGTTAGCATCTGGTGCTAGCTAGCTGCGCTAACGGATATAAGGAGCTGCTTAAATGAAAACAGAGGAGCGACATTTCGCCACAACTGCGCCGAGCACTTGACTTTATGCAGGAAGCCAGACAGTGGGACATTGTACGAGAAGTCAGCACACTCAGCACGGATAGTGCGCAACATGATTGCAGCGTCCAGGCAGCTCCGGTTCGAGCATACAGTATGCCTTGAGTTGCACATAGCTCCAATGATCACACACACACACACACACACACACACACACACACACACACACACACACACACACACACACACACACACACACACACACACACACACACACACACACACACACACACACACACACACACACACACACACCAGAGAGGTTCCAGGTTGAATTGAGGCGAATATTTGTAATGTTCAGAGGTTGTTGTGTTTAATATTCATGAGAATATTTGTCATTGTTCAAATGATAATAAACATTAGCATAAAGCATATTTGTCCACTCATATGTTGATAAGAGTATTACAAACTTGAAAAATATTCCTCTAAGGTACATTTAGAACAGATCAAAAATGTGCGATTAATTTGCGATTAATCGCGATTAACTATTTTAATCGACTGACAGCCCTAATTAAAATACATCAATATGAACGTGAGCATTCCTTTCAAAAAAATCACTTTGCTAGAACAGTGATAATAAAACAATGCTCCATAAGTCTGTGTGCTCAAAAAAAAAAACATAATACAATTGTGCAATCCCTTTGCTAGAACAATAAGTTATAATACTTTGCCACTTTGCAATCCGTGCGAAAAACTGAAAAGAAAGAAAATGCTGATATTTGGCAAAGTGTGTCTTCTTATCACAGCATTAGTGGCTGCAATGAGCCTGTTTGGCACTGCACATTTCTTCACAACGGGGTTGCAGGCTCAGTGGCGGCGCCAGAGATTTCTTTTGGGGGTGCTGTGGGGTAGCTTGACGTTTCATAGAGGGTGCTCAAACATTTAGGGTTTCCCGTTAATGTACCGGTCGCTACAGAGGAATGTTCTACTGCAACACTCCCCACACAAATACACAGTGTACCCGCGACTGTTACAATGAAGGCTCGAGGCATATAGGTGTAAGCAGGGGTAAAGTGCTATTTTTGTGTGGGGAGTGGCCCTCACATAGGGGGGTCCGTGGGCATGCTCCCCCGGGAGGATTTATTTTTAAATGTTGAAGTTGAAAGCATCAATCTGGTGCACTTTGAGAGCAAAATGAAGAGATCTATGGATACATCGCTCAACACCCATATGAAACAGAACTGTAAACAGATTTACTTTTTCTTCATGGATATTTTACAAATCACTCCCTTTTAAACTTTATTCTTGTTTTACTGTCATATAGTATTTCATACCTGTTTTTCATTTATTCTCTTATTTTTTTATAACTATAATGATCATATAAATGTGTGCCTCGGAAATAATTGTTTACATTAATGGTGACCAAAACGTTTGAGACCCACTGAGATAACAATGAGAGTCCTTTAGCTCACTGAGTCTCTCAGTCTGACAGGAGAGGACTCTCCTCCACCTTGTTGTGGAAAAAGCTCCTTATATCCGTTAGCGTAGCTCGCTAGCACCAAAGCAACAACCAACGATCTCCGGTACGGTGCCTCTCTCTCTCTCTCTCTCTCCTCTCTCTCTCTCCTCTCTCTCTCCTCTCTCTCTCTCTCTCTCTCTCTCTCTCTCTCTCTCTCTCTCTCTCTCTCTCTCTCTCTCTCTCCTCGTCCTCTCCTCTCTCTGTCTCTCGCTCTGCGCACGCACGCACACAAAATGGCTCGTTCCACACACACACAGAGCCGAGCTTGAATGAAACACAGAGACCCAGACGTACAGTACTTGTACTGTACTGTATCATATTATTTTAGAATCAATAATTTTTCAAATAATGATTTCCTTTGGCACAGTTATACAATACCGTGTTGCAGGTACAGCTGTGTTTTGGTAGATTTTGGCTCTATAATGATGGTGTCATGACCTTGAACACTCCATTTTATAATGTAACTACTACTAAATGTAACCATTTTATCCACAACAAATTATATAAAATCGTTATTTTTTATCTCAAGAACGTTGACATCTGTCTCAGTGTTGCTCTGATTGCCAAACATATTTTAAATACATTACATCAACTAAGTTATCAAATAAAACCACAATAATGAATAATCAAGACTGGCACTCTTTACTGCACAAAACATTTAGCCACAGGAGAGCTTCTCCCCAGAGCCAGGCTTCACTGTGTGTGTGTGTGTGTGTGTGTGTGTGTGTGTGTGTGTGTGTGTGTGTGTGTGTGTGTGTGTGTGTGTGTGTGTGTGTGTGTGTGTGTGTGTGTGTGTGTGTGTGTGTGTGTGTGTGTGTGTGTGTGTGTGTGTGTGTGTGTGTGTGTGTGTGTGTGTGTGTGTGTGTGTGTGTGTGTGTGTGTGGTGTGTGTGTGTGTGTGTGTGTGTGTGTGTGTGTGTGTGTGTGTGTGTGTGTGTGTGTGTGTGTGTGTGTGTGTGTGTGTGTGTGTGTGTGTGTGTGTGTGTGTGTGTGTGTGTGTTACCCCCCCCGACACCAGGTCCCAGCCTGGTACAGCCTTAACAACTGACCCTGTACTGTAACACACAACAGCTCCTCGTGCCATGTGGCAGTCTGCCAGTGTAGGAGCTACAGTAGTTAAATACAGGTGATCAGGTATCATCCATGGGCTCATTCATTCCTATGAAAGTTGCCCAGTGGCACATGAAGCAAAAATGGCCTGACTCTAGTACAAAAATACTTGGATTCTATAGAGAGTAGTGTTGTCACGATACCAACATTTTGGTTTTCGATACCGATACCAAGTCAATAATTGCGATTCCGATTCTTTTTCGATACTTTACTTAAAAAAAGGGAAACAGTCTTAAATGTAATTATTGTGCTTTATTTCACACCAGAACCATAACCATAACACAAACTTTTAAACAATGAGAACAATAAACAAAATAAATGACAAGAATTCGTCTTAAATAAAATTAAAACATGTCTCACAGACAGGCCTCGTGGTGTCCGTAGGCTTGCCCTCACTGTCAGAGATATTGCTCAAATACTTCCACATTTCGCTTCTGGCGTCTTTTGTGTCAACAAGCCGAGGCGCAGCGGCAGTTGCACTCCCACTTGCAGCCATGCTTCTCACTTTCTCACATGCTCTGGCAGCTAGCGCGTGGCCGCGTGCACGAGAGAGGGGAGGCACTTAGAGCGTGCTTGAGAGGGGAGGCACTTAGAGCGTGCTTGAGAGGGGAGGGACTTAGAACGTGCTTGAGAGGGGAGGGACTTAGAGCGTGCTTGAGAGGGGAGGGACTTAGAACGTGCTTGAGAGGGGAGGCACTTAGAGCGTGCTTGAGAGGGGAGGCACTTAGAGCGTGCTTGAGAGGGGAGGGACTTAGAACGTGCTTGAGAGGGGAGGCACTTAGAGCGTGCTTGAGAGGGGAGGGACTTAGAACGTGCTTGAGAGGGGAGGGACTTAGAACGTGCTTGAGAGGGGAGGGACTTAGAGCGTGCTTGAGAGGGGAGGGACTTAGAGCGTGCTTGAGAGGGGAGGGACTTAGAACGTGCTTGAGAGGGGAGGCACTTAGGGCGTGCTTGAGAGGGGAGGGACTTAGAGCGTGCTTGAGAGGGGAGGGACTTAGAACGTGCTTGAGAGGGGAGGCACTTAGAGCGTGCTTGAGAGGGGAGGCACTTAGAGCGTGCTTGAGAGGGGAGGGACTTAGAACGTGCTTGAGAGGGGAGGCACTTAGAGCGTGCTTGAGAGGGGAGGGACTTAGAGCGTGCTTGAGAGGGGAGGGACTTAGAACGTGCTTGAGAGGGGAGGGACTTAGAACGTGCTTGAGAGGGGAGGGACTTAGAACGTGCTTGAGAGGGGAGGGACTTAGAACGTGCTTGAGAGGGGAGGGACTTAGAGCGTGCTTGAGAGGGGAGGGACTTAGAGCGTGCTTGAGAGGGGAGGGACTTAGAGCGTGCTTGAGAGGGGAGGGACTTAGAACGTGCTTGAGAGGGGAGGGACTTAGAGCGTGCTTGAGAGGGGAGGGACTTAGAGCGTGCTTAAGAGGGGAGGCACTTAGAGCGTGCTTGAGAGGGGAGGGACTTAGAACGTGCTTGAGAGGGGAGGGACTTAGAGCGTGCTTGAGAGGGAAGGGACTTAGAGCGTGCTTGAGAGGGGAGGCACTTAGAGCTTGCTTGAGAGGGGAGGGACTTAGAACGTGCTTGAGAGGGGAGGGACTTAGAACGTGCTTGAGAGGGGAGGGACTGCAGGCACGGCTGCAGTGCAGGGAGTGGAAGCAGAGCGCTGAACACACACGGCTCTTATTAAAACGGCGCTTTCTCACCGGAGCACTTTTCCCCGTCATTCTTAAAGTACCGATACTAATGAAACGGAGGAATCGTAACGTTTTTAACGGCAGGGTATCGCGGTACCTTTCAAGTATCGGTACACCGTGCAACACTAATAGAGTGGCGAAGTCACGCCCATCTACTTCCGGTCCATGGGACCTTATTTGGGAAAAATAATGTATTGAAGTCAAAGGAGAGAGAAAGATTATCTTTCGACCCCGTTTGAATTGTGCCACAAATTACACATATGATGTTTGTCAATCTTAAAAAATAATTTCCAAGTCAAAAAAGTCACAGTTTGTCGTAAAACTGTTGAAATATAAGACTATGAAAAATAAGCAACTAGAAAGACTACAAATCCCAGAGTCCCGGTCCCGCATGCTGGCTCTCAGGAACCGACTAACTCCCCTTGTGTGTATGTGCAGCTCTCAACGTGCCCAGACTTGGAGTGATTTTCACCTCGTTTAATACTTTCCGCCTCGTTCTGAAAGAAAGAAGTGAAATGTTCAACGTGACGGCCGTCTTGGTGTGTGGTGCGAGACGGGAGATGTAGTTCATTGAGATTCGTGGATTCATCTTCCTATTATACACACATGCATTTCCAAACATTTGGACTACTTATGTTGTAAATGTATTATCTTTTCAATTTACACACGGCATCTATTGCACGTCTGTCCGTCCTGGGAGAGGGATCCCTCCTCTGTTGCTCTCCCTGAGGTTTCTCCCATGTTCCCTTTAAACTGTGGGTTTTCTCCGGAGGTTTTTCCTTGTACGATGTGAGGGTCTAAGGACAGAGGGTCTAAGGACAGAGGGTCTAAGGACAGAGGGTCTAAGGACAGAGGGTGTCGTATTGTCATACTGATATTCTGTACAAATAAAACTGTGCTGTTGTATTTACTGTATAGTGTCCTTACTGTAAGGTAATTATTATATGTACAGCACTTTGGCTCGTTTAAAAATGTGCTATATAAATAAAACTTGATTTGATTAATTAAATGTGTTACGTCAACAAATGTCACATAACTGTATTAGGTTAGTTGAAAGCAATACTATTAAGTTGAACCTAATAAAACCATATTATTGCTTTCTACTAACCTCATACAGTTATGTGAGATCTGTTGTCATAATACATTTAATGAAAGTCAACGTTTCAGTTTCTTCAGTGTACCTGACGCTCGTTTTCTCAGCACGATGGTGGTTTGCTGAAGCAGGACGTTTGTGTGGTGGATCAGTGCTGTGTTCTCGGCTCTTCTTTAGCACAACACTGTGATCAAGGTCACTGATGCAAACACAGATCACATATTAAGAGTGCAGCTGGGCAATATTTGACTTGCTCCAACGCGATTCCCACGCTATAAAGTCCTACAGGGATGATGTCGTTTTGTTGGCTAACCAGGAAGTGGAGGACTCACTCCTGCAGCACAGTGTGTCAGACACTAACCCCGCTGGACTGCTTCTGTTGTGTTTTTGTTGTTACACATCATCGCTAGAAAATGACCAGGAGGGCTGTGTGATACTACTTTTCCCAACTTCAAAATGTCATTTTTAAAGTTGTGTGTTGGTTGTTATTTGTAGAAAAAGAAGAACAAGTCAGTCATGAATCTTTATCTATCTCCCCTAGTAGTACATTCAATTTCAACACAGTGTTTCAAACACACAGTACAAGTATATAGGTGCACATGAACATGCATGTTTTGTTATACAAGACACAGTACAAATACACACAGGTGCACACATGCATTGCACATGTATTTTGTAGAGGTCCAGAGCGGAAAGGCAGCCAGTCGGAACCTGCGCCAGGGAGCAGTTAGGGGTTCGGTGCCTTATTCAAGGGCACCTCGGCAGGGCCCAGGAAGTGAACTGGCACCTCCAGTCCACTCTGTGCTTTTATTGGTCCAATCGGGACGTGAACCCTAGTCTCCACAGACTGAGCCACGGTCGCCCAACCAAACTGACCTACAGTCAGTAAACTAATGAAGAGTGGTGCAGGAGTGAGTCCGAACATGTGGAAATAACTTGTTTCATTTTTGATTGTGTTTTTGGGGAGAGGCCTGATATAAAGTGTATAATATGTGGTTACCACAGGTTTAAGAGATGTTCACGATTTCTCTGATGACGTCAAATACATCAGTACATACACCACTGGTAAACGTCTGATGCTTCTATGTGTCATTAAAAACAACAGTTTACAAGTGACTAAATTAAACTACTAAACGTCATCACGCTGCAAGCTTAGCGGTGGTGATGTCATGTGACCATGATATAGTCAGTTTATAGAGTTAGCTTTTTACTTCTAGTGATTGCATTTAAGCTTCATCTGTTGTGGTGTACATGAAGGTATCATAAACGTGTGTTTGCCAAAGAGCTCATTTTCTGCAATATTCTGAAATCCAATGTAAGAATCCCATTGCTTGTAGTAGAGGGAGCCCTGTTGTGATGCTAACTTATGTGTCAGCCTACAACAATACATCCTTATTGCACCACTCCATAGGGGGTGTAATAGAAGGCTGTATGAAAACAGACTTGGTTAAAGGTGCATTTATTACATTATGTGCTAACTTTTCTCAAATATTGCTTCATTTAGAAAATGGTCATGAGCGCAGAGGATGCAGGACATGAGTGAGAGTGGTCCCTGCCTGTGGACGCGGCTCCCCCACAGCAGCCGGACCCCCTGTGACCGCTACAAGCACGCATGCTGCAGCTCTGGTGGACATGTCTACATCCTGGGAGGACGAGACAACAGCAGTCTGAGGGACTTCTGGAGGTACAGCGTAGGTAAGGGCTACACACAGCTACTGTCCACTTTACCTTAGTGCCCTCAAGGAGGATTTTACTACTGGATGACAAAAATAATACAGGACTGTACCGAATACTTTGAAGCTAAATATATTGTTTTTTATAAATTCCAATTACTCAAGACCATTGTAAAGTCAACGTTAATAGAAAAGAGATAGATGTAATCGTTTTCAAAACATGTTTTTTTCAACAACGTATTCAGCTTCAATTTACATTAGTTTGCTCTCCGCCGTGCTGCACTCAAAGGAAGACACAAACCTGTATTAACGTGGTGGTCTAAGCATCAATACAGCATAAATGACGTCATCAAATACAGAGATTTGCGTCATTCGAAAAAACTCAATCGAATTTCATTTGGTACGTTCTAAAAAAATCCAATCAAAACAAAAATATGAATGTAATACAGATGTTAGGAAGCATTTTATTGTATGCATTATGTAGAAAATGGATTTGTATGATAGTACAAATAGGGTTGCAAAATTCCGGGAATTTTCAAAGATGGAAACTTTCCATGGGAATTTAAGGAAATAAACAGGAATTTAAGGGAATAAACGGGAATTTAAGGGAACAAACAGGGAATAAACAGGAATTTAAAGGAATAAACAGGGAATTTAAGGGAACAAACAGGAAATAAACAGGAATTTAAAGGAATAAACAGGGAATTTAAGGGAATAAACAGGGAATTTAAGGGAATAAACGGGAATAAACAGGGAATAAACAGGGAATTTAATGGAATAAACGGGAATAAACAGGGAATAAACGGGAATTTAAGGGAATAAACGGGAATGAACAGGGAATTTAAGGGAATAAACAGAGAATTTAAGGTAATAAACGGGAATAAATGGGAATTTAAGGGAATAAACAGGGAATTTAAGGGAATAACAGGGAATTTAAGGGAATAAACAGGGAATTTAAGGGAATAAACGGGAATTTAAGGGAATAAACGGGAATTTAAGGGAATAAACAGGGAATTTAAGGGAATAAACGGGAATTTAAGGGAATAAACGGGAATTTAAGGGAATAAATGGGAATTTAAGGGAATAAACAGGGAATTTAAGGGAATAAACGGGAATTTAAGGGAATAAATGGGAATTTAAGGGAATAAACGGGAATTTAAGTGAATAAACGGGAATTTAAGGGAATAAATGGGAATTTAAGGGAATAAACGGGAATTTAAGGGAATAAATGGGAATTTAAGGGAATAAACAGGGAATTTAAGGGAATAAATGGGAATTTAAGGGAATAAACGGGAATTTAAGGGAATAAACGGGAATTTAAGGGAATAAACGGGAATTTAAGGGAATAAATGGGAATTTAAGGGAATAAACGGGAATTTAAGTGAATAAACGGGAATTTAAGGGAATAAATAGGTATTCATCTAGTACAGTGTTTCTCAAACTTTTTCATACCAAGGACCACTTGAGTGAAACTTAAGCTCGCTCCATTTCTGAGATATTCCCACAAGAGTGCGGACAACTTTAATTAATTAATTAATTTAAAATATGGAATATTTCCAAAATTCCCCAGCTTAACTTCCCATGGAAATGTACCGGAAATATCCTGTCCTTTGCAACCCTAAGTACAAAGGACAGGAAAGATGGGTAGTGTTGCAAGATCCCGACTTATCAAACTCATTTTGCAACATTTCAGTTTGTGACGAGTGGACAGAGTTAGCCTGCACCAGTGACGCTGCACCAGAAGAACTAGAGGAACATTCTATGGTGGCTCATGAGGTACAAACTCATCAAGTGGATTTGTATGTATTACTTGTATTGCCATAACAAGCATAAAGGATCTTATGTTGCTTGTATCTCTGCTGATATCCCCGATGTGTCAGTGTGTGAACATTACGCTGTGACGTCCTCAGGGCTTCCTGTACGTGTTTGGAGGACTGCTGGATTCTGCATACACCAAGTGGAGATGTCCCCTCTGGGTGTTTGACATTGGTGAGTTTCACTGTGGAGGTGGTGCAAACCTGTTGCTGCATGTCAGTTCCACCCCACGCCTCCAACCCCCACTGATAATATTACTGCAGCGCTAGAGTTCAGAATTATAGATGAAAATGTATATTTTTCTGGAACAAAAAGTCATAATATTATTAAACAACATAAAAATGAAATGTATGCTGAGAAATGCTAACCATGTAAACAGTGGTTTCTGCTGTTGATTAGCTACACTGTGATTCAGCTGTGACTCCATAACAGGACATGCTTCCTGCTGTACAAATACCACAACCTGTTGGTTCCTGTGTGTGTGTGTGTGTGTGTGTGTGTGTGTGTGTGTGTGTGTGTGTGTGTGTGTGTGTGTGTGTGTTGTGTGTGAGAACAGTTATATGTTTGCATCTGTTTTGCAACAGCTAGTGTATTGTCCTTGAGATTGGCTTGTGATGTATGTCAGATACAGTATACAGTACAGTATATGTAGCAGATGTGTACACAATTGTATTATTAAAATACTCATGTATGGACTCTCACATTGTTTCATATGATGTTCTGTTTATTAAAACCAAGGGTATTTGTACAATAGTAATTGTAAATATGTGTACAGCGTGCAAACGTGTGTTTATTTAGGTGATTTTTCACATTCCATTTTCCACTTGTTTGGATACGGTTACATGTTTTTGAGCTTGTTTTGAACTAAGTTCCTCTGTTTTCCTGTGTTGTGTTTCAGCTCAGCAGAAGTGGGTGCACTGGCAGAGCAAGAAGTGCTCCCCTCAGGTACACAGCGCCTGTCATGGGGAAACTCTTTCAAACGTTTCTTTTTTTAGCATCGTTAGCGACAACAGAATGTAACTAGTTAGATCCCCTTTCCAAGTGATCATACACTGCATATCAATCATGACAACAAATGATAGAATGACATGTATCACGTTATGATACATTAGAGCAGGGGTTTTCAAAGTGTGGGAAGGTGAGCCTCCCCTCAGAGAACATAAGAACAGCCCCCCCATTATTATTATTAATATTGTTGTTGTTGTTGCTATAATGCAGCGGTATTCAATTGCATTTCAAACAGGTCCAGTAAGAGAACATGTCATTGAATGCTCTGTTTTCGCTGTCTACCTTTCTCTCTTTTGAGCACGCCATTTGAAATGACTCCGACTGTTTCTCTCTTCTTGTCTCGTCTCTCTGTGTGTTTGAATCTATCGTGCTGACTCACTGACTGCACCGATTTGATTGGCTGAGTAGCGTCACCTCCTTAAAACATGAAACAATAACTTTTTTAAACCTTTTTATCTTTGTTTTTGTTTTTGTTTACATTTTCAACATGGTGGATAAATCCTTCTATGCTCCCGGAAACACACTGAACGTCATCTTTGCCTCCTTATTACACTCGGCCCTACTTTAGTGGGAACAATGAGTCTGCGTCTTTGAAGCGCACAGGCGGATGATGCGGGGATGCAATGTAGACGGGAATACACGCAGATCCTCCTCTGGCTGCAGCCTTGACCCGCACTTGCTTTTAATCTAAGTCAATGTGGAAAACCCGCACTCACACAGGGAGGTGGAGGTGGAGGGAATGAGCACTTTTACAGCCTGTTTGGCGAGGTGGGGGAACTGGGTCTCCACAGACAGCCAAAAGTGTGCAAGTGACGTTTTCTGCCAGACGCTGTCTCCGCTCTCACTTTAGGTAACTTCACTAACAATCGATCCATGTTGCGGCTCGCATAAAGTTAGCTGAAGTTAACTAGCTAGATTTCACTGCTTCTCGTTAGCTCTCTGGCGCCCCCTGGGGAGCCGCGCCTCACACTTTGAAAACGGCTGCATTAGAGAATGGATTTGCAAATGTAAATAAAATGATGGTGAACAGCACCATGCCCACTCTCAGGTAAAGTAGTTCCTCCGTGGAAGTTGGCCTGTTTTAAATGCTAAATCAGGTGGATTTATAATATAGTGTAATGTAGCTTTTTCATTATTTGCAACCCCTCAAAGGGCATTTACATATTCAACTTAGAATTCATACATTACTAAGATCCAAAAACACTCACACACTGTCAGCCATCAGGAGCCATTTGGAGTTGGGTATCTTGCCCAAGGACACATTGACATGTTAACTGCAGGGGCTGGGGGTCAAACTGCTCAACCCCCTGAGCCACAGCCTCTTTCCTCTTCAGCAGCAGTTTCTTTGAACAAGTAGCAGAAACACTGCCGTCATGTCTTCAGCAGTAGCAACTAACAAAGCTAAAACTCATTGTCACCAAGGAAGAAAGGTGTGGTAGTCGTAAACAAAAATCAGGACTTCATTGATTAGTGTGTTCGTGGTAATCTTTTGGAGGATGAGCTCAATGACAGTCCTTGGATCCTAACAACACAAATGTAGAAGCGTTCAAAAAACACTAGTGATAATAGACTCCTGGGATTTGTGTGTGTGTGTGTGTGTGTGTGTGTGTGTGTGTGTGTGTGTGTGTGTGTGTGTGTGTGTGTGTGTGTGTGTGTGTGTGTGTGTGTGTGTGTGTGTGTGTGTGTGTGTGTGTGTGTGTGTGTGTGTGTGTGTGTGTGTGTGTGTGTGTGTGTGTGTGTGTGTGTGTGTGTGTGTGTGTGTGTGTGTGTGTGTGTGTGTGTATAGAGCCAGCCCACCAACAGGAAGGGCCACAGTGCCGTGGTGCTGGGCTCCTCCATGCTGCTGTACGGAGGTATCATCGACATGAAGGGAACCTCACAGGACTTCTGGAGTCTGGATTTTGGTGAGTTTGACGTTTCTTTATTCCCACAAGAGGAGGAAACACTCATAGATGTTTGCAGCATAAAGCGAACCCAAGTTGTCAGACACATTTACACGACAACAGGGACCAAGCCTCCTGATTTTCAGCCTCACCTAAAACAGTCGCCTGAGATGTCAAAAATGTGATTTGATGTAATTACTACATGTTCTGTTCTCTGAGAAAAGGATATGGCAGACAAACAGCAAAGAAGAATAATGTTCTTTAATACACTGTATTATATTCCCGATACATCGGAAGATACACGTTTGGCTTCCTCTAATATATCATCTTTGACTAAATATTTTAGAAAAGTACACTGAAAAAACTGAACCGTTGACTTTAATTAAATGTATTAAGTCAACACATTTCATATGAGGTTACTTGAAAGCAATAATATTAAGTTGAACCTATTTAAATGTATTATTATTGCTTCCAACTAACCTTATACAGTTATGTGAATTCTGTTGACATAATACAATCGACATAATGCATAGTAATGTTTGATTTGAAATGTTAGTTTTTTGAACAGTTGAATGGAAGAGGTAAAACTGAAACATGTTGTCATTTGCAAATGCCTTCAGATATTTCAAGTTTCCGTTGTGAAGATAATTGCCAGTTATTGTACAATGAATGAAGTGTAACATCGGTGGAAGGAGCTTCTCATTGCGCTCATCACACCAAACAGTGTCCATATTGTGACAGTAACATGTATGTGTTTACTTGTTCCTCATGACAGACTCCATGGCCTGGTCCCTGCTGAGCGGCTCTCAGCAGGCCTCACTGGGCCCCGGCCCCCGACACAGTCACTCAGCCGTGGCCCACCAAGGCTGCATGTACCTGTTCGGGGGCCTGAAGGGCCTGCGGGAGCAGAGAGACTTCTGGAAGTGGGACTCCTGCAGCCACATGTGGAGTCCCCTCAGAAACAAGTGAGAAGTCACATGATCCGTCAGTCTGTCCTCTACGGGGGGGCGCTTTAGGTCCACAGCTAAAAACACCACTGACGCAAAACACTTGTACTGTGTTTAATCAAATATACAGAGTTAGTTTAAAAACAAATATTTTAATGTTTGTGCTTATAATGTACTTACGGTACATACATGTCATTTGTTAGACGCTTTTATCCAAAGCGACTTACATACATTCAGTACTGTAGAGAATCCCCACAGGAGCAATCTGGGGTGAAGTGTCCCAGGGACACAACGACATGCTGACCGCAGTGGGACTCGAACTTGCTATCCCCTGATTCGAAATCCAGCACACTACCCACTGAGCCACAGCCTCCGGTGTATATAGACATAAATATCTACAATTTAAAAAAATGTAATACATGTTTTATTCTATAGGTGGACATGTAAGAGCTTTGTCCATGTAAGCAGAAACTATTTTTTGTGGGTTCCCAAAATGCTCTCGTAGCAAGGTCTTTACTTATGTTGATATAATCTTGTTTGACAGAGGCTTCCACATTTTGCCCAGAGTGTTTGGAGACATGAGACATAGTATCGTGGTGTTTATTAGCATAGTTGTCTCATAGTTTTAGAAAGCCATTGCTTAACGTCCTCAATAAATCCATCGTTGCATTTAAGTACGTTGGTAAACCATGTATTTTGTTTTTTCTGTTCCTCCATAAGAAGTAAAGGGATTATAGACTCATGCAACTTTGTGGTTTCTTCACCCGTTTGAATGAAATTCCCCTGTTGAGTTTTTAATTGTGGGGCATTTTCATCCTTTTGCATGAGACCCTTCATTGCCTTGATCACACTTTTCACTTTGAGAACCTTTGATGACGCTCTTTCTGGAGCCTTTCCATTTGATTTCCCAATGCCTTAACCAGCGACTTTGATTCCTCTCTTTTGTCCATCAATGTTTGACACATTGACCTCAGAGCTCGATTTTGATTCGCATTTGGCATTTTCCATTAAGTGAGCATACCAACAATATTACAATCCACGCAGCCAAGTCAATCAGTCAATACAACTATTTACTGCTGTAAATAGAATAACCACAAGCAATAGATAAACCGCGAGCAGCAAAACCAACACAAGCAAGCAACGAGTCCCCAATGGGAACTTGCCGTCCGTGTCGATGGCTATCTGGCTTCACCTCGTAGCAGCAGGCCTCTGCTTTCTTGTGCCCTACTCCAATAAAACGGTGATCTTGGTGTTTGAATGTTTCCTTTAAAGGTGGGGAAGGTAATTCACTTCAGAAACACTTTTAGTTATATTCCATGGAATGCTCTTAACATCCGATAGCAATGAATATCTGAAGTGCTTTGACAATAAATCCATACAAAATGTCATCTGTGGAAGCCGTAGTTCTGTAAAAAGCACGACCAATCATCTGAGCCGGCCCGGCTAAAGTAACTGGATGGCCTACCTGCCTGTCAGCCTTCCATCGGTGCACAAACTTATCTCGTGCCCTCATTGGTCATGTGCGCGTTCGTGTGTGTTGGAGGAGGGGCTCTGGAAGGAAGTAGCAGATTTCTTCCGGCTGTGTATTTTTCAAATTCTAGCGCACTCGAGCTGGTTTCTCCAAAATGACCTACCCTACCTTTAAGGTCCACAGCGTTCCAGACCGATCCAAGGAATCCGCTATAAGCATCCAATTTCCATAGACCAACGCTGCAGTTGACATGTTTTCTGTTGACATTGTTGCGCCTATAGGCAGTCCAATAAAAGCGGCCAGCAAGGGGCTAAACACGGGAAGATGAACACTTTCAGACACAAATGCTCCACTCCTTCCGTTCTGTTTAAACTTGTATAGCAGGAGAAACAGAAGCGCCGATAACCATTGCCATGCCACTGATGGTTAGGGATATTGCGGTGGAAAAATGTTGCAGGATTTCAGTATGCATTTGTGGTAAACAGAACGTTTACGACTCACCCCCTCTCTCTCCATACAAAAGCACTCTGAGCAGGTGAGTGCAGCCAGGTTAAACAACCTCTTACCCCACCCCAAACCCCAGTGCACGCCCACCACCAATAATACTTCAAAAATACCTCATAATAAATAGAAACACATTAACCTTAAACGTGGCCTTAGAGGACATTTGTGTACACAACCTTAAATCTGCACAGCTTCTCTTTTTTCATAACAATTCATTATTAAATTAAAAATGATCATCATTTAATTGTAAAGGTTTTTTATAATAGTTTTAATTTGTTGGTTGTTTTTCTTACACTTTATCTTCTTTAACTGTGTTTCTGTATGCACCATATACAGCAGGGGAAATAAAGCTGATTCTGTGTTCCTACCTCTGCTTCACTCCCCCAGGTCCGGCCCCTCCAGACTGAGGGGCCACTCCGCGGTGGCCTACAGGGACAGCATGCTTCTGTTCGGGGGGGGCGAGAGCCAGAACTCTCCACAGAACTGCCTCTGGAGGTACCACTTCAGCAGCCAGTCCTGGGGGCAGGTAGCCACGCTCCCAGGCTCCAACCCCCCCCACAAGATTCACCACTGCTGCACCGGGCTGGGGGCCAGCTACAGGTCTGACAGCAGCAGCCCTCCCCCCAGCTCAGAGCTCCAGCCCGGGCTGCTGGACGGGAAACTGAGGCCCTTCAAGAACAAGTGCTTCCCTGCACAGCTCACCTTCCTGGGGTCGGAGGGGGCCATCGAGCTGGAGACCTTCAGCTGCTACAGGGGCACGACACAATGCTCCAAACAGGACTACATCAGAGAGAGCTTCACGGTCACTGAGCCCCCGCTCATCCAAAACTGTCTGACCTTTGAGAACAAGGCTGTGAGGAAACAGTGGAGCCGCACCGAGGAGGAGGAGGAGGAGGTGGTGGTAGCTCAGCATCTGCCTGACTTGCTGCTGGTGCTGGGGGGGAGACCCTGCTCCAGGGCCAGTCCTATCTCCGTATGGCATATGACTCTCACTGACTCGTAACTAACATACAAACTAGTGTACAGTACAAACATGTCGGCTGTACGATCAACAACACCAGTGTTATATCACCAGGCGTCAGCTCACATGCTGTGAATAAGGACATATATATTTTCATAATATTATCGTTTTGAGTTTCAATGTTTTGCGGCTTTCCTTTATGCAGTGATCAAATGAAATATAGAAACATTTAAAGAAAAGCGTCACATTATTTCAGTTGTTGAACAAAGAGCATTAGTACGATAGTGAAGAAACACAGCACACACGGTGTTATCTTCCACTGCCTGATCCCCACAGGCTGTTAGACATATTGCACAATTCATTTATTAGGAACTGCAAACATGGAGCTGATAATAATGCAATAAGACCTGGATTACACACGATGGCGCCAGAGCTCAATTTATAGATCTCCATAGAATGTATTGATTTAATACCTTTGTTGCAAACATTATTTAAAGAATAGAGTGATTACATACAAATTCGTATAATTACAACAACTTAATATTGTGTGTATTTTTGCACTAAATCAAAAGGAACAATTTGGAGTTGTGGTTATTTACATGTTGTTATGATTGTACTGGTCCGGCCCATGAGATCCAATGTGGCGTTATGTGGCCCCTGAACTGAGATGAGTGGGACTCCCCTGGATTATAACATATCTCTGCATTTTGATATTAAATGTCCACAATTTGTTGGCCTAAAATCAAATGAACAGTGCTTTCAAATCACTACACTCATTGTTATTACATTGCTCTCCTGTCCAGCTGTATTTCAGAAACCTTTTCTTCACAAACATTCATTTTACACGGAAAATCGTGGAATGATTTTCTGCTTTCACCAAATCTGAGTTTGACCATCAGGCCTGCAAACATTCTATCAAGTGTCCACCTTGAAAGTCAAAAAGCTTAACTCATGAACTGATACAGCTCTGTGTGCTTTTACAGGGATGCATTCACAAACGCTAACATCAAGTTAAAGAAATGGTTGTTGTACATGGTGTGTAGTTGCCAGGTGCTGCAGGTTCAACTCAAAGAGTCAAGTCGATGTGTGAAGTGAAACATCTGAATGGTCTCTCTCCCTTTACAGGCTCAACGAGCTGTTTCCATGGCTGTTTCCATGGCATCTACGTCCATACGTTCGTGCGTGCAACTTAGTATCGTATGTTTGCCAAATATGATTTCATTTCATATTATTTTCAGTTGTTGTCCCCTCCTTCCATTCAGTAGCCTGAGTCTGGAGGTTCTAGGACATCTGGCTTATTTTCTTTTTTGTTGTGCTTCTTTGGCTTTGTTTCATTGTGCAAATAAAGAAAATCATAAACATTCTCAGGTGATGTGTGCTTGTCTTCAGACTCAGATACGTTATATAGAACATCCTTGTAAACCCATAGATTTCAAATCAATCGGGACTGTCAATGATTGACACACAGCTGTCAATCATCTGTGTGTCTCAGCCCTCCAGCAGTCTCTTCATCAGCCAGTTTAAGGGTCAAATGTTACCTTGTAGTTCTTTGTTTACATTTTAAGAAAGGATTTCATTACAAGGCATACATCACAAACAGACAGATACATCATCTACATAACAAACCACAAGTCAGGAAAAAAGAAAAAACGCAAATGAACTTATAAGGTATAGTTTACTCATAATGGATAAAACATTAAGATGCATACATACTGTCAGATCCTATCCACCTGGTCTTCATTAATGTTGTGTGGTCTATCATTTACACATTTGACCCATCTCTCATCAAAGATATGAACCTGGTGGCTGCTTCTCATGGTTCATTTCTCCCTTCCATAAATCTCATTCATTATATTCTTCCATAGTGAGTTCATTCAGTTCTTATCTTTTAACCAATTTCTTGTACTTGTTTAATAATTACTATTCTTATTGTCAGGGAATAATTTCCATAGCTGTTTACCTTTCGCCCTCTGACACAGCTGACCAACCTTGAGCAGCCGCTATCTCCCATACGGAGGGGCTGCCCTAGCATTGTGTTGTTGTTACCAGTTTATGACCGGGCAACTGTCGGTCAGAGATAGTTATTGTTGTGGGACACCTGGAACACATCCTTCTCGGGGTTAGATGACCCCGAGCCATAAGAGACAACAACTGTGATTCAGTGTCCTCAGCTGTTTAGTCTATTGAGGAATGTTGATTATTACACTCTGAACCAGTAGCGTAGGCAGAAATGTACTTTAGGGTGGGCCTGTAAAAAATAGGGTGGGCCAGATTTGTCTTCTGGCATCAGAAGCTAACAACATCCCCGCTGGTAGCCTACCGGTGGCAGATTACTTTTGGAATACTTTCTTTTTCCATAACAGATATGTTTTGGTGAACAGCAGACACGTATTGTACTGTTTTAATGGCTTATCAAGAACTCAAACACAACATCTTGGTGTCATTCTGACAGCTCTCTCATCTGCACCCCACATAAAACACATCACCCGGACTGCATTCTTTGTACTGTCCAGTGATTCCCGCAGAAATGAAATATACTTTGGGGGATCGACTCGGGGGGGGGGGGTAAATGTTGAGATTTTTTTTTCTCAATTCCTGCATTCTAGTGAATTTTCATAGTAACACTGCACTTCAGACAACCTACAACTGGTGATGGTGTCTAGGTCTTTAAGTGTTAAACAGCTGAGAGCAGTCACTGATGTTTTTTGTGGTATTCTTTCACACACACATCTTACCAAGTGGGAGCCAACACACGGGCACCGACCAAGAGGGCGCCCCACGCCAACATACGTGGAGGTGCTGAGGAAGGATGTGGGGGTGGAAAGCTCCACAGAGCTGGCCGGGTGTATGGAGGCCCATGAGGATTGGCGAACCCGTTGGCAAACTCGTCTAAGGACGACCTAGTAGTAGTAGTCCTTGATTGGCTCAAGTTCACACCTTTTTAGGGGCGGGGCTAGTGATGTTGTCCCGGGGATGCTTAGGAGTTGATAAAGGAGATAATCCCACTGACGTCATCATTTGATTCCAAAAGTGGGTCTGGACTCGCGCCCATAGAGGCTGTTTACCAGTATAATGGCTCCCCCCAAAGTATAATTTATGGGTGGCTCCCCCCAAAGTATAATTTATGGTTTTTTAAGTTTTTTTTACTCACTGAGCACTCATTGCCACCAATGCAAATGCAAATGAGTGCTCACTGAGTCAAAAAAAACAAAAAACACACAAATTATACTTTGGGGGGAGCCATTATACTTTGGGGGCCCCCCAAAGTATTAACATGCTGTGGGAATCACTGCTGTCTCAAACCTTTCCTTTGAATATGTTATGCATTGTAAGATGTCCTTGGGTGCTTTGAAAGGCGCCCCTAAATAGAATGAATTATCATTATTATTTATTATTATTATCTGAAACGATGTAATAACTTTGAAAACTTCTTCCAGTCACTTGCCCCATGCATTCAGCAGCAGCAGCAGTGGCGTCGCCTGGCCTAAGCCCTGTATGTTTTTTCTGTAGCACCGGACAATTCTCCCTTAATAATATAATACATTAACCGTGCTTTACGTGAACCTCATCATGACACTAGAGAGGACGGCAGGGCTGTAATTTCCCGTTATCTCAGTGGGTCAAATTATTCAAAATATTATATCCGCTGCACACCTTCATATGATCATTATCGTTATAAAAAAAATAAGAGAATAAATGAAAAACAGTTATGAAATACCATATGGCAGTAAAACAAGAATACAGTTTGAAAGGGGAGTGATTTTGTTTTTACAAAAAACTCCTGACTCATATGTAATGATAATAGATGTGAGGCAGGAACAGGGGCTATCTTGAAACGTCCATCTTCTTCATATCTGAAGTCAGTGAGTTAATCATGATTCTATAACACATAGGTGTGAGCAAGCTCTCTGATTGGTCAATAGGCGTGTTTGATTCCACGATCAAAGAACGGTCAAATAGAACGTGCCTTTTCACAACAAGTCAGTATCCCTCCGCGTCTGAGAAAAACGGTATACCCTGATTGATTGATTGATTGATTGAAAAGTTTATTAACAGCTTGTATATTGGGTACAGTACAGTACAGCTCAAAACATACAATTGTTAAGGGGATGCAGACCAGAGAAAGACTTTCGTCTTGTTTACATCAGGGTCCCCCATTTCCAATTCATCATGTCATTTAAGACACCCTTGGCCAGAAAAGCAAACTGCTTGCAGTTTGCTTTTCGAACTGGAACAAGAAAGCAGCGGAGAAGTAACGGGGCAGAAACCCTCCTTTTTACGTTACGAAACAAACTTCCAAACATAATATGGAAACATTTAAGATTAACTTCAACCTCCGGGGGGTCTTACTGTGGAGGACTGGATTGAGGAGTGCCTAGAAAAAAAAGCACCTAAACGACAACATGCAGAGCTACGTGAAGAGCAGGTAGACCAACTGGAAAAGTACCACAATTCAAAAGCTAACTGCAAACTGGAACAAGAAAGCAGCGGAGAAGTAGTGGTTTCCATAGCGACACACAGCCGTTACATTGTTACATTGTCTCTCGTTGGAAAATCGTTAGCTAAAAATGTCAGATTTTATAGTTATCATCTGGACAACAGAAAAATGTGGAGCAACGCGCTTTTTGCCGGTCCGGGACACGCCAAACGGCCACTGGAGGAAAGCTCTTCCGTGAACACCACAGCACCAACTGCAAAAAAGTCTGTCATGGGGTTCATGAGTTGTTTCAAAAATTGCACGTTTAATGGCAGCATGAACATCCACCTTCATTCTGAAGCCAAAATGTTAAATATGGAAATAAATAAATAAATAGCCTAATTCAAGAATTGTTGTCAATAAATTGTTTTCAATACATTGGTTAATAATATATTATTTACTATAATTATATCAATAACTGTAAGCGGGGAAGCAGGAGTGTTCGATTGATCGGCTCTCGTTACCGAGGGAACTACTTTATAGGAACTACTTTCTGACGGAGATTAACTCAAGCAGAAAGTGAAGGTTTGGGAGCAAATTAGCCCACATTATGAAATTATTTTACGATATTGTTGATTACAATGATAGTTTGTGTTATAGAATCGCAATCATACACTTGAGGCCGTTCTTTAACGTCATTATTGGTACTCCAGTACAGGCGTACGGAGCTCGGCGCAAGCGCCTCGGTCCTGCCGCAGTACTGTCGTACTGATTATATCGTACTGATCATCATGATTACAACACTTGGAACTGCTGTTACTGGTCAGTTGTTTGGCCTGTCACTTTAACCTCAGATCTATATGAATCATTAAGAACTCAGAAGTCATGAGGATTGAGATACCTTAGTTGATGCATTAATGAAGGTATTGTTCCTGCATTACGTCATGCATGAGATACTATTAATACCTGTACATTACTGATAGTTAGACGATGATTCATGTACCCTTACTATAAAGTGTTACCCACTGCTCTGTGTGTCATATTCTGTGTGTAATACCAGCTTCATTAATATTTCAGTACTGTATCAGTGGAACTCTTTACCTTTTTTTGACCCTTCTTCTTTTCACAGGTCGTGGCATTGGTGTTGACACCACCAGTCATACCATTATAATATGAATCATTTCAATCTGCTCAAGAGGTGCAAAACATTCAGTATTTATTCATATTATTCTATTATCCATAGAAAATAACGAGGTACTGTGGAAAAAGTAGTAGAGGTAACATCACCATATTGCATAGTTGAAATACCCACTGCTCTCATGTTAAAATACACTGTGTATTATTATATACACTGCCTTATTCATCTACCTCATGCATAAAGCAACATGTTGCATTATCTACTTCTTTTATTTCCATTTTAAGAAATGATTAAGGCATACACAACAACATGAAATAACAATCCACACATCAGAAAAGAGGGAAAACAGATATATGATTTACAGGATTCATTTAACAGATAATTGACACATCATTCATTTTCATAAGAATATATACCTTTCATCATCTCACCATAGGCTCATTTTTAATGTGTGTGTTGTGTCATTGTCCCCATCCATCGTCACAGATCTGAACTGAATTTCTCATGTTGTTTTTTCCATTCCATATACTTCATTTACTAGGAATCAGTAAATGTATTTATTATTCATCAATTTCTTCTGGTGTTTTTCCAAGTAGTGGGATATGTGTTTATTCTTTTCTTTCTTTTTGTTATGGCCTTCTCCCAGAAACCGCTCAAAGCTGCATGTGCAACATGAAGGTTTGCCTTCACATGCTCTCCATCATTTGTTAAACATGTTGCGTTGTTATGTCATATGTATCCAGCATTTGCACACTATGTATTTATGTTTACAATTTGTATTAAAATATATAATCTTTTTGTATATCTTTTTTTTGTATTTGTTTTTTTTTATATATTTATTTGACAGGGACAGTGCACATTGATTGACATTTCTGTAAATGCGCCAGAGTTAGCCAACAGGCTATTTTTCGTCTGTAGTCCCTGGACAGATGTTAAAAGTCATCCTAAAAACTGAAATTCACTTCAAATAACAAGTAAATACAATCAGTAAAACAACATTCAACAGAGATACTTATATTATGATAAAAGCATATATAAAAACATAAAAACTGAACTAAAATACATATTCACAAAGCAGACAGATAGCAACAGGTCAAGGCATATGTACAAACAGAGCGTTGTAAAGTGCACATTGTGTCAGTGTTGACAGAGCTGACTTTCCACTAACCATGTTTTTAAGGTAGATTGAAATAAAGTGCAGGTGTTTTGTTCTCTAATCTTAACTGGGATTGAGTTCCACTGTTGTGCAGCTTTAAAAGAAAAAGAAGATTGGCTGAATGAACTCTTCCTTAATGGAACAACGCAGTGTCCTCTTGTTGCAGCTCTTGTTGACCTACAGGTGTGCGTATGGTGATCACATGCCTGAGCGGAGGTGAGGTAAGGCCGTGTATTATTTTGTACATGAGGCAAGCATTTGCATATCTCATTACATTTTCCCAGCTCAACAAGTTATGTTTTGTGAGTATTGGGCAATGATGAGAATAAACTGACTTCTTATCTACTATTTTAAGTGTTTGTTTGTATAATGATTCCAGGGGTTTAAGAGTGGTTGTGCGGCATGTGAGCAGGTTGTTAAGCAGTAGGTGATATGCAGTGGCGTTTTTATATGTACAAAAGTGGTGGGGCACAAAAAACTTAGATGTCTATATATAAGCTTCTGAGGTTCATGGCTGGTGAGGCTCTGACTCTTCAGGTTTACAAATATTATATTTTGACCTAAATCAAAATATAATATTATTTTCAAAAGCTTTTTTTGTCTGATGCTTCAATTAATTTTAAACAGACAGTTCAACAGAAGGATACCCAAAAAATGTACTTTTTTCATTTAAATATTGAATTGTTCTCTCTTAGTAAGATCCCATTTTCAATACAATTGTGGCCTTACCTTGACTTGAAGATGAAGTTCATTTGCCTATCCTTCTGGACAAAAATCTCTATTACTTTTTTGTAAAAGTCCTCCTTATGTTCTTGTAGTTTCAAAAGTCTATCATAAATCTGATCTAATCAATAGATTTATGATTCGAAAATTATAAAAGTAGGGTAGACATGTGGATATTATCCGGCTGAACAAAACGTGCATTTATCTAACAGGTTTGTTTCCCACAGATCTTATTTGGAGCTATTTTCTAAAATCCTATGGAGAAATATCATTGCTTTTTTGTGGAGGGAAGCCATGCGCAGCTTACTACCTGGTTTTAGGACGCGTCACTGCAGCTCTCTCTCCTCCTCTTCACACACCACACTTTTCGCGGCACACGTACTTACAGCCAATCAGCTCTGAATTATGTGAGATGACGTATGGTGGGGATGGCAGCTCTATGCCCCTATGGTGATTATTTTTTTGCCACACACATTAAATAGGACAATACTCTGAGCATGCGCAGTGTAGTTTTTACAGTCACCATTGACTTAAACAGGGAGAGGGAGGGGCAGGATCGGGTTTTGTCCCACATGGCTCAAAACAGCTCAATAGGCACACACTGTAGACACTAATTAGACGAACACAGACTAACACAGCAATGTACAGACGAATCAGATGATTAAACATGATCTTAAAATATATTTTATATATTTTTTAATTTATTTTTTGCATTTTTTTGTAATCATTACTTTTAATACTTTCTGCTGACACTAGGTGGGGCTGTGCCCCACCTGCCCCTAATGACCAGTCGCCACTGGTGATATGATATAGAACCATAGAGTGCATGTACATCAGAGCCGCCTCTGTTGACATGCAGTTCCTGGTAAACCTCAAATTGAACATACTGAATTTGACCCTGTTGCAAACCTTTTTCACCTGAGCCTTAAAATTGAGTCTTGAATCAATTAAGACCCCCAGGTATTTGTACTCTGAGACCACCTGTAGCCTCTCCCCGGACACAAACACATCTGGCTCAACGCAGGAGGACTTGGTTTTGGTGAAGAACATACATACAGTTTTACTGACATTTAGTTGCAGACAGCATTGCTCCAACCAAGCTGTTACATGTTTTAAATTCCTGTCTGTGCACACACTAACTCTGATTCTCAATTATACTACTTTTAAATAATATATAATGATACATGTACATCTACCCCTGTATTAAACAGATCTGTAATTATGCAAGCCAACCCTGCACCCTGCTTTACAACATATACAATTATCCTATGGTAGATTGTAACAAAATACATGTTCTCTACAAGTACTTTAGTACAAGTACTGAACTGTGGTATTTTTCCTGAGTATTTACATTTTATGACATGATACTTATACTCCACCACAATTTCAAAGCCGGTATTGTACTTTTTATTGCAATATATGTATTACTTTACAGCAGCTTAATTTACTTAATTCCAATTACCAGCCAACAGAAATATAAATCAACTTTAAATTAACTATGATATACAGTATACATACAGTATAAGATATCCATCAAAGTCATTCAAATAAGCTCCATCTTTACCAGCTGCGATTAATGCATCAATAATCATAATCCGGTCATCAAAATGATATAATCATGAAATGGTCCATTACACATATTGAGTACTACTTTTTTTTAATGTAGGACTTGTGACTGAGTATGTTTTACAAATGATTGCTTTTATTATAATAATTCATTATATTTATTTTTACATTATATTACATATAACAGACATGTAATACATTAAACACTGTGAACAATACCACATATAAATAATACCCTTATAATTCATAGTATAGTACTTCATAGTGTAGTAATTGTACTTCATAGTGTAGTAATTGATATTGTAGTTATTCATAGTGTACTTCATAGTGTAGTACTCCATAGTGTAGTACTTCATAGTGTAGTAGTCCATAGTGTAGTACTTCATAGTGTAGTAATTCATAGTGTAGTACTTCATAGTGTAGTAATTCATAGTGTAGTACTCCATAGTGTAGTACTTCATAGTGTAGTACTCCATAGTGTAGTACTTCATAGTGTAGTAGTCCATAGTGTAGTACTTCATAGTGTAGTAATTCATAGTGTAGTACTTCATAGTGTAGTAATTCATAGTGTAGTACTCCATAGTGTAGTACTTCATAGTGTAGTACTCCATAGTGTAGTACTTCATAGTGTAGTAGTCCATAGTGTAGTACTTCATAGTGTAGTAATTCATAGTGTAGTACTTCATAGTGTAGTAATTCATAGTGTAGTACTCCATAGTGTAGTACTCCATAGTGTAGTACTCCATAGTGTAGTACTTCATAGTGTAGTAGTACATAGTGTAGTACTTCATAGTGTAGTAATTCATAGTGTAGTACTTCATAGTGTAGTAGTACATAGTGTAGTACTTCATAGTGTAGTAATTCATAGTGTAGTACTTCATAGTGTAGTAATTCATAGTGTAGTATTTCATCGTGTACTGTAGTAATTCATAGTGATGGCTCTGATAACTTGCCTTTTCCATCCATCGCCCTATCAGTGTGTAATGACACGTTTACATCGGTAGATGGCGCCATGCATGTATTAATCAGCAGCATACTCCTTCAAGCTTTTTTTGTAATTTTCTATTTTTTTTTATTGTAAACTATAGTTTTTATAAACATTAACTTAATTCAAATTGTTCTTTATTATTATCATTATTGTAATTATTATAATTTTTGAACTTTGTTTTAATATTCTGAATTAATGATATAAAAAGACAGACATATAACTGTGTTTTAATTTGTTTCAGAAGTTATATTTCGTTGAGTGTAGGAACAGTGATCTTACATGAGTCACAGAGACACAACCATAGCTTAAAGGATCCTAAAGTTGCATGACGACATCACTTGATTCAAAGAGGTTTGCGTTACAGCCGGCGTGTCACCATAACAAAACCGTGTTCCATCAGTGCGTCGTGGCTCTGAGGCGTAGTAGTGAATAATCCCCTGCGTCCAGTTGGTGGAAATCCCCACGTGGTTTACGACTCCTGTATAAAAACTTTGGATGTGCGGAGCCCCCGTTGTCGCGATCTCAAAGGAGCAGAAGGTCTCAGTGAGCAGCATCCCGCAGGAAGCACGGAGCTGCACATACAGCTGCGCACCGGACACGGTACCCAAGCCAGGCGCGTACACAAAAGGCACGGGACTCCGCGAGATTTGTTGTTCTCTGTGGAGCTGCAGCTGTGCACGTTTGAATGGGAGAGAGCGGACTGAGCACCTTTGGACACTAAGGTTCTTGTTTCTATTTAGTCTTATCTGCTTTGTTTTGGTAGATTACGCGTCTGACGGGAGCGTGTTATGACAGAAGCGCGTCAACTATCCAAACTTGTGTCACTGAGAGGGATGAAACTTTGCTTGTGTGCAGAGAAAAGCCGCATTGCTGGATCCTGAATGCACAATGACTGCCTGGAGTTAATTAGCCCCAAAGTTTCAGCAGCACTCTGGGAATATTTCATTGGCTTCTCTGGATATCTCTGTTTTGGAAGTGGATGTTCTCCCCGGAACTTGAAAAGAAACAAGAACAGCTTTAACTTAAGAGTGTAATATTTCCCCCCCTTCTTTTTGTTGTTGTATTGTATTCGGACTGTAAACTAGGGAAAATGAGCATCTACGGTGTGACTTTGTCCTGTTTGGTGGCGTGCGTTCTGTCCGTGCGCTGCAGCTCGGTGGCCGGGGTGGAGGCTCAGAGCTCTCCCCTGGAATCGTGCGCGTCCTGCGGCCTCAGGGCTCCGGATCAGGCGGAGCGGGTAAATATAGACTTTTTGGAGGCGGTCAAGAGGCACATCCTGAACCGGCTGCAGATGAGAGACAGACCCAACATCACGCACCCCATCCCGAAGGCTGCGATGGTGACGGCTCTGAGGAGGCTGCACGCCGGGAAAGTGCGCGAGGACGGCCGGGTGGAGATCCCCAGCTTTGACGGACAGGCTGCGTACAACAACGAGGTTCAGACGGAGAACTCGGAGATCATCAGCTTCGCAGAATCAGGTAATCATCAATAATTCATCACACACATCTGAAACGACCATTCGGTGAACCCACTCACCTTTTGAGTTGATGTAACAGGTAGCCGCGGGAAGCAGGTGAGTTAATAACTTAACATCACTCAGATGAAATGTCATTCTGCAGAGCTTATCATGCTGAAATGACTGAGCAGCAGAGATGAGATGAACACAAAAGCCATAAACTAATTGGATCCTCTCATCATTTGTTCATCTTCTTATTGCATCGCAATTCAGCCCTGCCTGGTGTTAAATCCTCCTGTTTTAGCCCAATACAATTTCAAAAAGGAATCAAACTAAAGACAGAGTCCTTAAATTACCACCATGTGTTGTCTAGGGGATAACAAGAGCCTCTGAATCCAATTTCATCACTAAAGCTGTGCTCACACTCAATACTCCAAAGTATAAAGCCCTCTTTTAAATACGGACAAAGTCCCTCAATTGGCCATTTATCCCTTGCTCTAAGAATGTGTATCTAACTAATTCTCACAAGTCCAAAGAGAACACCCTTTCCTCACACACGCACGCATGCACGCACGCACACACACACGCGCACACACACACACACACATGCACACACACACACACACACACACACACACACACACACACACACACACACACACACACACACACCACACACACACACACACACACACACACACACACACACACACACACACACACACACACACTAAAATAATCTGCGCTTGACAGAATCCAATAATTGTCAGTTGGCAGTGTGAGAACCGACACAAACTGTTAGTTTAACAAAAAGAAAAAAGAAAACATACAATTAAATACACCAAATAGGGTATCTTACACACACACACACACACACACCACACACACACACACACACACACACACACACACACACACACACACACACACACACACACACACACACACACACACACACACACACACACACACACACACACACACACACACACACACACACACACACACACACACACACACAAACAACCACATGTAAAACCATCCTGTAGTTTCCCATTGGCCCTGCCGCTACAATTAGCCTGAATGGGCTGCTTGGTCCCACCTTCCGATGGGAATGATCTGAGCTCTTCATGACAAGGGAACAAAAGCCGGGCTATTATTATAAGAGCACTGTGTGTTCCTGCTGAACCCAACATGTCAACATGGAACAGAGGGGGAAAAAGCAAGGAAAACAAAAGAAACTGCTCAGAATAATGCATGAGACATTTGAGTGTGTGGGGTTGGATTGGGGGAGTGTGGGTGGATGGTGTTGGTTGATGGTGGAAGGGGGGTGATATTGTGTGCCCATATTGCAGTGTTGTAAAGAATGCTTTTGTCGTTCTAAAGGTTTGCTGGGCTCCTTTGCTTCTTCTTCTTCTTCTACTTCTGTGTTTTTTTTTCTGGTTCCATTCTTCCTCACACCTTTGAGCCTTTGTGTGGCATTGTAGCATGGAGCTGGCTGGGCTCCCTGCTCCCTGGACCCCGTCTGCCTCCTGGCCAGCTGGCTCACGCCCCCCAGATCGGATGCTGCCAGCCGGGGCACGGCTCAGAGGAAAGGTCTCCAGAAAACTCTGCAGCCAGGGGAGCTTGTCCCCCCAAAGCATAAGGGAGCCTGAATTGTTGTTGTCACAGGCGGGTTGGGGGGTGAGGTTGGCACATGTATAGCCAACAGTAGCCAGTGAAGGGATGTGGATAGGTGTGGGTCAGCTGGCCCCCCCTCAGCACAGGGTTAACTGCCTGCTTGTCAGCCAGGCAGCCTCTTATCTCTGGTTGCGGCAGCACAGAGGGGAGAGGTCTGCCAAGCGGCCCCGGGCAGGTGAGGGAGACGATGCCAATCGCCTTTCTCTCCTGACATGGTCCCGTGGGTCCTCGCTGAGGGATTTGGTGTCCCGTATCCACGGAAGCGGAGCGGGGAGCACAGTCAGGAGTGGAGGGGAGGACGAAAGAGAGAGGGGTCGATGGAGAAGTTCAGATCGGCACTTCTTGATTGCTCACTATTGCCGTTCGGACCCAGTGAACTCGCGGCGAGCGGTCCAAGACGCTGACTTCATTATGGAAGGTCATTAACTCCGGCCCGGTTCCTCCAGAGGACTCGGGTTGGCCAGGTTTACTTCAGGACACCACTCATTCATGAGGAGCTGTCAGTCAGGGTCCTGCTGGACCTGGTCCAGACATTTTCCACATTCACCCTCAAGTGTGTGTTTCAGTCCTCACTGGGCCTGGCTGCCTCTCTATAGATTGTGATACTATAAATGATGTATGCAACGTTATTAAAAATGCCCCTCAAAAAGCTTTAACAACAACAGAGCCAGTGCTGCTGCGGAGGCCTTAACCTCTCGTCACCTACGCATCTCTGCCTCTCCATCCCCTCACCCCCTCACCCTATGTGGAATTCCTGGAGTGCTAGACAGGAGCACTCGTCTGCTCATGGTCCAGTCCTGCATGCTTCACGCTGCACCCTGGTCCTTCCACGGCGTGTGGTCTTGTCGACAGCAGCTTTGACTAATGACTGTGGGGCGGCCTGCCTCCATGGCCTCCTCCCTGACTTGGTGGCACAGGTGGGGACATGCTGAAGCAGCTCTTTATCCTCCACACAAGCCCACCCAGGTGTCCTGCCTGCTGATACTCACTAGGAACTTCTCCACTGCGGGGTCAGGCGAGGCGTGTCCGGGCAGCTCTAACACTGCATGGAAAGAACAATTTGTTCCTTCAAAGGACCTCAGTGGAGAAAGTCTTGTGGTATGTTCAGGGTTGGGTTGTAACGGAATGTAACGGTGTTAGGTAATCAGAATACAAAAATCAAGTAGGCTAACTGTATTCAGCTTGCGTTACATTTGAAGAACGAGTAATCTGATTATAGTTACTTTCGTAAACCTGAAGTGAATACATTTTGGAATACTTATATACTTAAATAATTATTGGTGGAAAAGTTTCCTCACAAAATGTTGTCATTACCGGCAGATCTGTGTGCACCGCGCTGCAGCGTGTCTGTGAGCGAGAGAGAGAGAGAGAGAGAGGAGAGAGAGGAGAGAGAGAGAGAGAGAGAGAGAGAGAGAGAGGAGAGAGAGAGAGAGACGAGAGGAGAGAGAGAGAGAGAGAGAGAGAGAGAGAGAGAGAGAGAGAGAGAGAGAGAGAGAGAGAGAGAGAGCTGCAGCGTGTCTGTGAGGCCCCGCCCCCGCACCCAGATGAGAGAGAGATCTATTTTTAAATATATTGAAAGTTAGAAACGGAGATGGTTCGATAAGATGTGCAAGATAACGTTTATGTAGCATTTCTTTATTGTTGAAATGATGACATTTATAACGGGATAAATCAAAGTGAATGGCCTGCTGCTGCTGAATGCCTGGGGCAAGTGACTGGAAAAAGTAAAAAAAAAGTTATTACATCGTTTCAGATAATAATAATAAATAATAATGATAATTCATTCTATTTAGACGCGCCTTTCAAAGACACCTTACAATTCATAAAATATTCTAAGGAAAGGTTTAAGACAGGACAAAGAATGCAGTCCGGGGGATGTTTGTTATGTGGGGTGCAGATGAGAGGGAGCTGTCCAGAATGACACCAAGATGTCGTGTTTGAGTTGTGCTCTTGATAAGCCATTAAAACAGTAAAACAAGTGTCTCCTGCTCACCAAAACATACCCATCTGTTATGGAAAAAGAAAGTATTCTAAAAGTCATCTAAAAGTCATCTGAATACTTTTTTAAGACACGTAACTGTAACTGTATTCGGATTACTTTCAGAGCCATGTATTCAGTATTCAGTAACTAATTACATTTACAAAGTAACCCTCCCAACCCTGGGTATGTTTGTATGTACTGTCAATACAAATGGAGCCAAAAGATCAAGATTGTTTTTGATACTGACAGAGACTAAAACATGTCAGCTCTACTCAGTTGACTCCTCAACGTTTGTTTTAGTAGCCTTTGACCATACCACGTGAACTTTATCATGTCTTTGGTCACTCGTCTTGGGATTGTAGATATTTAAATTGAGTTACTTCATTCTGATTCAAGTCCATGTGCTGCAGAGCCCCTACTGAAGCGTCCTGTGATGAGGCTGGCCTGTCTGCAGCTCATAGTTGTTGCAGTAGTCTTATCCTAAATCTCAGAACGATACTGAGATTGACTGTTCTGTTGTTGTGGAGGTGATGCTTTCATACGTTTAGTCTTGGTTTCTGGTACAAAGCATCAGCACTGGGTGTTGTTTGATGCTTCTTGTGATAACTGAGAGCTGTCATATGGGGATAAAACAACTATTTACCCGTCCTTTTCCAGCAATGATTCCTATCATTTAATCATCACGCTTTAAGATTCAGGATAAAGATTTAGGCTTCATCGTCATATGCAGTAGCTTCAGTGTAGGTATGGCAATGAACATCTTAAGTACCAGGCTCCTCTAACAATGCAACATAAATAAAAAGGGCAAGAGAATGTTGTGGGACTAATGTAATGCATTGTCCTATCCTATATGATGGTATAATTGATGTCATGAGGTTTTAAGATGTAGTAGTATTGGTCAGTCAGAAAAATGTATCTAGTGAAGACTCTATGTATTGTTGATTGGCATTGAGCACTATTTTATGACATTTAATGAATACTTTCTTTAAATGGTGGATTGATTGACAACATAAAGGTCTGAAGGTTTCCTTCAAACGAATCAAATCGTGTGTAACTGTTAACCATGCATCAGTTATACCCCCCAGCTCTGTATGAGCAGTGTGTGCTCACCCTTTTTCGAGCTCGGAGCTGTCGAGGCAAGTAGGAAGGCACGGTGCTAATGAGGTGAGGTTAGTTACTTGTAGCCCTGAGGCGCCTTTACGCCCGTGGAAGCTGCTGCTCCGCTGATTCCTTTATATCGCTCACTTCAGATTCATTTCAATACGTTCCCACTGTGCACTTGATACATTGCCCAAAGGCTCGGGTATTGAGAAGGCTGATAGTTGATGTATTGCTAACCGTGGGGTTGGGTGTGTGTTCATGGCTGGGTGCAAATGTGTGTGAAGTGCTTGAGCTCCCAGCTGACATGCTACAGAGTGGAGAGCTGGTCTCAACAGGTCCCTGTGTGAATGTAAAGCCGCGGTTTACAGGAGGAAGAGGCGTGAGGCGCTTTAGAGAGGGGGGGCCCCGTCTTTGGTGGCCACCTGTTGACACTGACACACACTAATCAGTCGGCAAACAAAGTCATTTAGCTGCTTTCAAAGGCGCTGCTCCGCTTGAGCACATTGTACCAAATCTCCTGAAATGGAAACCTTTCAAGTTACCTCGGGGGAATTTGGAAGACATCATTAGGCTTAGAAAAAAAATACTGCCAGGGAGAGCCCATGGCCACCTTAAGACTCCCGGGATCTCTTCATTGTGCGGCTGTAGAATGTAGCCAGTGTCATGTAAATGGCTTTTATTTTTGCTTCATCATGCTTTTTGCTGGAAAGCCACGCGTTTGAAAGGCGGCTGCAGCGCGGCTGTCTCCCCGTGCCTCACAGCCCGCTTTGTGCTGTCACTCTCAGGGTACTCACACTGGAGGGAGGGGGGGGAAGGGGCGGGGTAGGGTGGTAGTGGGGTTCGGCAGGGGGGGGTAATAACAGCGAACTCAATGAACCCCCTGGGGGCCTTGGCCATGTCCGCCACCCTCCCACCTTTCCCACTTGCATCCTTCCTGCTGTCCTTCGTCTTCTCCTCTGTTCCTCTTTATCCCTCTTTCGCTCTCTGTCTTTTTGGCCCCCGTCACTTACAAAGCTGGACTTGGGGCCAACTGGGCCTGATCCCAGAACCGGCCCGTCACAGCTGGCCTATCAGGAGTAGCCACGAGGTCACCTGATAGTGATTGAGGGCTAACAGAGAAAACAAGGGGAAACCAGCCCTTTAGAGCCAGAGCTGTTCACTTCTTGGGAGTTTCTTTTGCTTTCCATGTGGGCACATGCACGTGCATTTACTGGAAATGAACCCAAGCTTTCTTATGGCCCTCAACAGCAGATAAGGTTTGCTCAGTTTTCATGGTGATGGTTCAAGTTTAATCAAGTAAAGAATTTTGGAAACGTGAGGTCAGAGCTCATCCTCACCTGTCCTCAGATCAGCTGTTAGAATGAGTGTTCTTTGTCAAATCACTATTTCTAAAGTCACAAGAACTCACTATTGTGTATAAATCATTTTCATCTCGTATTGCAACTAATTTGAAACATGCTATCTATACGTTTTGTTTGCATCTCACATATTTATCTATTATTACCATAAGCAGTATTTTATTTCACTGTGCAGCATTCTACTTTTAGCTCATCTTATCCTGCATCACTTGCATATTAGTCTTGCAACATTGTTTTCCTTTGTTTACGTCTTATAAATATTTATGTTGCATGATTGGAGGAGCCTGAGAGTTAAGATTTTGATAACTACACTGTAGCTGTGCATATGACAATAAAGCTTTTGAACTTTATGTTGTATCATTATGTTGGATGGATGTCAGATTGAGAATGAACCATTCCTGTTTTTATTGTCTCCAACAGATGATCGCTTATCTGCCAAGTCCACCCTGTACTTCGTGGTCTCCAACGAGGGGAACCAGAACCTGTACGTGTCCCAGGCCAACCTGTGGCTCTACTTCCGCGTGTTGCCAGCCGGTCCTGAGAAGGGCCTCCGGAGGAAGGTGACGGTCAAGATCCATTACCAGGAGGCCGGGACCACCAGCAGTGCAGAGGGAGGCCCCGGGGGAGGAGGGGGAGGGACCGGTCGCTGGGCCCTGGTGGAGAAGCGTGTGGATCTGAAGCGCAGCGGCTGGCACACCTTCCCCCTCTCGGAGGCAATACGAGCTGTTTTCGGGAAAGGCAACCGGCGGCAGGACCTGGAGGTCCACTGTGAGGGCTGTGAGACGTCCGGTGTGGTCCCGGTGCTGGTGGACCCCCTGGACCCCTCCCACCGGCCCTTCCTGGTGGTGCGAGCACGACAGGTGGACGGAAAGCATCGCATCCGCAAGAGGGGGCTGGAGTGTGACGGCACCGTCGGGGGCCTCTGCTGCCGACAACAGTTTTACATAGACTTCCGCCTCATTGGCTGGAATGACTGGATCATTGCACCAGCTGGTTACTACGGCAACTACTGTGAGGGCAGCTGCCCGGCCTACATGGCGGGCGTGCCGGGCTCGGCTTCATCCTTCCACACCGCCGTGGTGAACCAGTACCGCATGAGAGGGATGAGCCCGGGCTCGGTGAACTCCTGCTGCATCCCCACCAAGCTCAGTACTATGTCCATGCTCTACTTCGACGATGAGTACAACATCGTGAAGAGGGACGTGCCCAACATGATCGTGGAGGAGTGTGGCTGCGCTTGAGTCCGCTCCCTTCACTGTTGTTGAACTCGGAACAGTCAGAATGGCCTTTTGTACAAACAGGACGTTATTGTACGGTACACATATACAATATATCTATACCTACTGTATGTGCGAGCAACACGCACACTGGCACGTCTCGCAAATGCAAGCGTCAGCGCAGTCCAGTGTCCACGTGTGCATGTGTGTGTTTGCAGGTGTTCGTGCGAGTGTGTGTATTTATCAGACTGAGTGACATGCTTGCCGTCCGTGTTTTGTCCGCTCAGCAACGACTGGTCAGTGATGGGTCGAGAAGGGAACGATTATATCACCAAATGATACTTTGCTCTAGTTTGCCATTTCTAGTCAAAAATAATGGCTCATCATCTCCTCTTGAATGAAGATAACAAGCGCTTAAGGAAAGTGACAGGATCAGCCATCGCCGAGGACATTATTGGCGTAGCCCCAACACTCCAGACCCCGCTCCTCGGACCCTCTTAAGTAATTTAAGCACATGACAAACTTTTGTTTTTTATAAAGCACTGACAATTCATCAGTTTATACACTTCAGAACACCAGCACTTCCCTACTCTGCCGACAGACACAGTCCGACTGTCCTCTCTGGTGGAATTAGACGGGCAGCGCTTAATGCCTTGCAGGATTATACCTCCAGAGAAAGGCAGAAGAAAGTCCTCCACAGAGCTGCTGTCCTCCTGCTGACTATGGGCCTCCACTTCCTGCTTGTCCAGAGAGGTGCAGGCCCTGCTACCATGACAACCAGGTGAAGGTAGACCTCATAAGTGCACTTCACTTGAGCACTTGCAGCGACGGAGAGAGAACGGTCCGCTGAGGCTCAGTAGGATCCCCCCCCCCCCCCACAGTGCAGTGCAGCACTTCCAGAAACTGAAATGCACACCCTGATAGCACTTGTATAAAGAAATGCCTTCCAAGGGTACTGAGTGTCCTGTCCTATCGCTTAATAAGTGCCACATGAGCTATGCAATGTATAGTAACCTATCCCCATACCCAGCCTGCTCTATTAGACTCAATCCTCTTCTCTCCTTCTCTCTCGCTTCAATCCTCGACTCTTTATCAATACTTGAAATGTAATCTATCGCTTCCTTTCCTAAGCGAATGATTGTTGTGACGTTTGCACTGAAAAGTTGCGGGATTAGTGACACACAAACTGCCATTGAAAAGTTATTTTTATAGAAGTAAATTGAATTTAGTTTCAAATGTATTTTACCTAATTAAAGGAACCAAAGAGGCCAATATTTGAGCTATTGTACTAAGATGGCAAGGCCATTGAGTTACTGTGTACAATACTGTTTAATCATTTTGCAATAGGCTTACCACTGTATCAGGGTACGATGTATGATTTCATTTCTTAGCTCTATTTTCATTCTCTGTTTTGTACAATAAGCAACACTTCATTTTTTCATCTTTAATTCTATTTTTGTTTCAGTTTTCTATTTAATAAGACAGTTATTTTAGTTCCCGTCTAAGAATCATTTAGTCAAATAAATGTCATCTGTACAGTTTATGTAAAATAAAATGTTTTCTTAAATATTTTGTAACCTTAAATTCTTTCCTGTGTCATGTTTGTGGTTTTTTCTCTTGATGAGGTTGGGCCTACAGTATATAGTAATCCTGATGTTATGGGCGTGTAGCTCAATAAACAAAAAGGTGAGGCAGAAATAGTTGGGTACCGTCTGTCACACACGCGGTCCTCGTCTGTACTGGTTGAAACATAAAAATATCTGTCTGTCAGGAGTGTCTCTTTGAGCTGTAGAACAGTAATTACAACCATGATTAACAGCTCCCTGGCATCCTCAGAGCTGCCAGCCTGCAGAGCCTCACATACCTGCTGACTCCTATCTGACGTCTGCTGGTGTGTTCGCATCACTGGGGAAGAAGTACTCAGATCCTTGATTCTAAAGTTCTAAAACCTCACTGAAAACACTACATGTCAAATCCTGCTTTTAAAACTGAAAGTATATTTTAATATCAGTGAGATGTACAATAGAAATACTGCAGTGTTTACTATTATAACATTTTTCCAGATTATAATTGCTGCTTCCTCGTTGCATATTGCTGCTGAGGCTGTTTAGGGTTGTGCTCAATTTAACTGCTAAACATATTAAGTTTATACTAGTTGAACTTGCAGCAATGGGTCACATGTGATGAGATCTTCACATATTGGGAGCTTTGTCTGAGAACTAATTATCTCTAAAGCTTGCTTTGTAATGATGCGTTGTCCAGGCTATGAGAGAGCCCTTTAAAGCCTTTATTAAGAAACATTTCATCCATTATCACTAAAATGTCCCAACAATTAGGACATACACAGTTCTTACTGGACAGGAAGGTGATTACAAACTATAATCATACAAACAAATACATTTAAGTTGTCAGATAAATGTAGTACATTTCTTTCCAAATCTGCACCTTATCCAAATGTATTTATTCCTATCTATACTTTTCTGTACATTACTACAACATTGTTTGTTATGTGAGTTTATTGCTGTTTGCACACTGGTTGGATGCAAACAGCTTTTCGTTGTTCTCTGTGCAATGACTAAAGTCGAATCTAATCTACAGAGAAAGTAAAGAACCAGTTTCTTGACTTTATACTTGAGTACAGTACTTGAGTAAGGTTACTTAGCTACTTGCACCACCATTCGTACAGTATCTGTTGTTGTGTGTTGTGTGTTTCATCAGAGTGGTTCTCCCCATCAACACTCACCATGTTTTTGTTTCCCAAGGTAGCTTTAAAGTTGCTGTGAGTGTCAACACTTTGTGTAACAGCACGAGGCTTGCCCGGCTGAACGTCTGCCTGTGCCAACACCTACCAACGGATCGGATCCATGTAGTGTTTCTGCAGGGCTCCACGTGTCTGTGAAATATCAGCCGGATAATTACTCTAAATATATCTATAGGATCTGCCAAGGAGTGCAATGAGATGTGTTCGGCTGCGGGGTAAATAGCATGTTAGGGAGGGATCAGAGTGAACACCTCTTCCCCTATACTTGGCTGGAGGAGTCACACGTTGTTCCTCTCAGATCACAAATCAGTGTGACGGTGCACGTGACTGACAGGAAGATAAATGTGCTGTCAGAGCTGATCTGGGGTTGTTCGGAGTCTCCTCTGGTGGAGCCTGCACACAGATGACAGTCTGTGCTGGGAGCGGGGAGAGAGATGTGTAGCTGTCTCGTCACGCTGCCTAATGCACGCCAAGATCTCCACAGCTGGAATGTTAATGACGCTGAGCAAAAAGCTGAAGGCCATTAAGCATGTTCTGCACTCAGGGCCACACACTTGCATGCATTCTATCAATAATCACAAAGGTACGGATCCACCGCTGAGCACACTTTATCACGCACTGTCACGGGCCTTTTCCCAAAGTCACACATATGCACTATAAATAAAACACTAAACACTCACACACAACCTCCACAACCCCTAGTTATCAGCTTAAACAAATATTGTCCTTCTGCCCTCACTCATCCAATCCCGCCACAGGTTGAGGTCATGACAGCTGCCAAGTTGATGGGGTCAACCTGGTTTATCAATGCAATAGCATTCATTCTTCCAAAATCAGCCCGGTCCACATTTACTTAATGAATGTATGACTCTTCATCGCCCGGGGCCAGGCATTCCTCCTCTTCGCTGGCGTTTGGCTCCGTGGAGAAATGTGGCGCGTGTGTTGATGTTTGTTTTGCTTATCCTCCACCAATGGAATTCTAGGGATTTATTTTTCATTTTCTGACTCGATCAAAGATCCCCCCCCCCTAACCTATGATCGCAGCCCGTTGCTAAAGTTCACTGAGCTAACACAACAGGATTTTCGATTACCGGCGATTAAAGCGTGACCCTTTGTTTCAGCCCTAGAGACCATGTAAAGGCACTCTTATTCTAAGGATTTATGGTGTGGGCCCTTAAGACAGGAGGCTTATTCCACCCCTGTTTACTTCTCCCTACAACCTAAAGTGACATTTTGACCTTTGGAGCAACTCGGACTGAGGTCCCTGCAAGCTCTCTCTCACGGGCGGATTACTGCAGGAGTAAAAGGGGCTTTGCAACTTGAAAGCATATTTGTGAGCACTAATGAGAAAAAACGTCATTAATCCAATCATTCTTAATGGCTGCGCTCAGTGTTGCTGCATTTCCTCTCTGCTTTTTTGTTTTGTTTTAATAGACGGCATCAGAAAACATACTGGTTGTATTTCACCACACAGACTCTGTAATCAGTGCCAGGTTAATGATGCTGCTGCCGCTTTGTTATTGACTTCTGAACACAGGAATCATGTTCGTCAGCAGAGGTGGGAAGTAACTAAGTACTTACTCAAGTGTACTTAAGTACAATTCTGAGATACTTGTACTTTACTTGCGTATTTCCGTTTGACTTAATACTTCTTCTCAACAACATTTTAAGGGAAATAATGTACTACATTCATTTAACAGCTTTAGCTACTTTTACCAACATTCATCTTTAAAACTTAAACTAGACAAACTCTTTAAGTTACAAAAGAGTAAAACAATTGAATTATTATACAAAAAGTAAATCAGTAAAAGTCAAATGCTACACTGAAAAAACTGAAACGTTGACTTAAATGAAATGTATTAAGTCAACAAATGTATATAACTGTATTAGGTTAGTTGAAAGCAATAGTATTACGTTGAACCTAATTCACATATAAACATTTCATTATATGTACACATAAAGGCCATTTTTTCTGAACAATGATTACTTTAACTTTTTATATTTGAAGTACATTTTGCTGATAATACTTTGGTACTTTTACTTAAGTACAATTTTGAATCTAGGACTTTTACTTGTAATGAAGTATTTTGACAATAATGCATTGGTACTTTTACTCAAGTAAAGCCTCTGAATACTTCTTCTACCTCTGTTTGTCAATACAAGTCCACTGAAAACAGGGAAACTGAACATGTTCTGCAGATCATTCTCAGCAGCATTGGAGCTGACTGACACCAGACCTTTACATATGTCCAGCTTTGAGAAAACACCATTAACACTGGCCCTAAATGCTCTTAGCAGATCAGTAATTATATTTTCTCTCTCCGCATGTTGTAGCTGTGGAGGTGAGGGGGTCAGCGGGCCACACTGGATGGTGTGTGTGTGTATTTTTGTGAGTCCACAATGTCATAATGTCAGGGTTGTTCATCCCGTTTTAGCAAAACAACTGAAGCCTTGTCACCAAACCCCCCGCCCCCCCAAACCATGTCTCCCCCTCAGCCCCTAAACCTCCCACCTCCTCACCTCACTTTCCACCATGCTGACCCCATGGCTCCCAAAGCACTGAAGGCACACTCAGGGGCCACAAAGCCTTCATTTGTGTTGTTTGGTGTGGTATGAGGTTCACCTCCATCAGGGGGTGCTGGGAGTGGAAGGAGGCAGTGAAGGTGGGGCCATGATGGACCCCCAGCCACTCCATGGACATTACATTAATGCACACAATACGAACAATATGTTGTTTTTATTTATTTCATTTAAGTATTGTCAGTCTTTCCACTTTTTGCAATAATTCTGCACATATTCTATTTTATTATTTTGTCATATTATACAGTGCGTAGTTTGTTGGTATATCTATATTTCATGTAAATATCACTCTATATATTAAAGTTATGAAGTTTTTTTTTAATAGATTTTGTTATTATGATTATTGTTTGGTTATTTAGTCAGTTACAATGTATCTTCTTGAACTGTGTTTAAGTATGCACCATATACACCAAAGCAAACTCCTCGTGTGTAAACCTGTTACTGATTATAGACTGCAAGCTCAATTTCACTTTGTGTTCTTTTCTGCAGACACATGTAACGATTGCATTTCTGCACCTTGATTTGAATCAAGGCTTGTGCAGAAGAGTCAAGGGTTAACTTATTTGGCACTCTTTAAATATTTTAAAAATATACATTTAAAAAAGAGTGGTGCAGTAATGGGTCCTAAAACCCAGAAGCGACTAAACATTGTTTGACTTCCGGTTCCCTGATCTCTAAGTCTGTTTTTGCTTAGAAGCCTGAAATAAGATGTGTGGTAACACAAGGTGAAGAGATTTACACACTCTGTTCTGCAACTTTGAATATGTCAGTTCTCCCATTCGTACATGTCTGAAGCTTCAATTTGTCATCAAAACTGTAGTTGCTAACAAGTGACTAAATGAGACACCCCGAACATTAGCTGCCTTCAGCTTAGCAGTGATGATGTGAAGTCATGTGACCTGACGTCGTTCCTATAGCCTAACATTAGCTTTTTACTTCAAAAATCCTAAAGTGGTGTTTATATGTGGAGATCAACATGTGTACGTATCACAGACGTGTGTTTGCCTCAGAGCTTAATTTTCTGCTAAATCCAAAGTATAAAGTCCCATTGCTTTTGAATGAGGGAGCCGTTATGATGCAGTCAACAAAATAAAAAGAAGAGAAAACACCACAAAAATGTAGCAATATGCTATCAGTCAATATATCCTAGCCAGTTCAG